TTGAGAATATGATGGAATAAAGCAAAATGACTCACTAAACTGTCTGCACTTCTTTGTTATGAAGCAGCAGTCAGTCCATGCAATTTTGGACGCGATTTTCACTATGTGTCATCCGGAAACAGTCTCTTCGTGCTTTAGTACAGGGGTAAGACTGCGTACATCCGACCCCCCTTACCCACCGTAGGTGGGAGCCTTTGCGGCACTGGGGTAAATGAAAATGATGATGAGAATAGACCAGAAAATCTCCTCCATTTCCTTCTCCCCCCTCCCCCCCCCCCCCCCCCGATCTTCCTGAAGTTCTTCATGGCTGGTTATCTCACAATATCATATTGTCGGAGGTCTATCTCCTCCTCCTCCTCCTCAACTATCATTACCCATAACTGCTTATAAATGGGAAGTCATGCCTTAGTGTAAATGGTTTCTTACACCTAAAGTAGAGATGAACATATTGGTTTTCGGTTCGGTTTTTATCGATTTCAATTCGGTTCGGTTTGGAAAGAGTTTGGAGAATTAGTATCAAATAAAAACCAACTTTTTCTTTGGTTCGGTTCGGTTTGGATTTGAATTTTTTTAATAATATATGAAGGTTTTATTGAATTCCTTTAGTTCGGTTCAATTTTGTTCGGTTTTTATCGGTTTAAGTTCAGTTTAATACGTTTTGGAAGAAATACTACCAAACTCAAACCAAATTGCATGTGATCCAGTTTCAGTTCGGTTTGGTACAGTTCGATTAAACCAAACCCATATGCCCACCCCCAGCCTAAAGCATAACTCTTTTGCCCGTAATTCTAGTATTACCTTCACCGAAAATAGAGTGAACCGGCCTGGAACGTGCAGTATACTGCCCGGACATCCCTGAATTTGTCCCTGTGGGCTGCCCGGTATCCATAGGAAAGCTTCCACTCGACCCCCTCATGCTGCCACCACTTGCGGCCGTGCTATTACCCCTAGTCAGTCGAGAAAAATCTCTTGAGCGCGACCTGACATTATTGTAGGACCCTCGTCCTCCATTCTGGAAACACAGATTGTCTCCAGTGTCCCCGGAGAATTCCGTTGTTGTCTACAAATCATTCTAGTGCAACAGGCGTAAAGGACCCCACACTAACCCCTTAGCCCATTCATGAAATACCCCAAATATGATCATCAGACAACCCTAAAACATCGAGATGTAATTCTCCACCGTCCTTGACTGCCTAATCCCGGACAACCATTCAAACCGGTTACCCTTAAACTGTTAGTCAAATCGCACAACCAACGCCTGCATGAACTCCTCCCACTTCGTCGTGGTGGATCTATCTGTCTACTAAAAATGAACGCCTGCATGATTACCCTTCTACTAATTCCAAATAGGAAATAAAATCATAAAAATCCTACTTAACTCCAAATAGGAACCAATATACGGAGTAATAGATATCCTAATTAACTATAATTAGGAAACAAATCGGGAAAATTATAAAAGAATAAAATTAATTAAACGGTCCGCGGGCAGCCTACGATGGTGGGCTCAAGCCCGTCGATCCCCACCTTCAATAAACCCACAAGGCCACAAGGGCCTTGGCCTCTCTACCTCCAAACCTAGTTCCTGCTCTCTATCACCGTATTCCCAGCTATTGCCACGACGGATTGATCCACCACCAATGGACCCAGGGGGCAATTAATTGATTAAATAAATTATGAGTAGAAATGAAATGATTAGTTTTATTTAGGGAAAACCAAACATATAATCCTATTTTTTAAAGAATGCTATGCTTTGATTCTGCCAAGGGCAATTTTCTCTAGGTACCACTTGCTTTGGAGGAAAATTCTTTAACTTTATATGTAAACTTAGTTTCCTTACAGTTACTGAGGTGAACTTGAGGACTGAGGAGCAATCCGCCAATGCCTAGCTAGGGTTTAGAGGGCATAAGCATCAGCACAAAGCATTCCAAATTGCAAATTATACCGTGGGATCGGCCCACCTTCCGCTTGGTGTGCCAATCCCACTTTAGATCTTACGTATCTTGCTTTCTTCTTTTCCATAGAGCTTTGTTATTCCTTTTTCTTCTGCTTTTCTTTCCTTCTCTTTCTTTTCTTCAACTTTTCTCCTTTTCCATCAAATTAAAATACTAAAAATTTAAGGGAAAATTCCCGAAATAGGACTAATTAAAATAGTTTGAAAATTCAAAAATAGGACCGTCATGTTTTTTATTCCCAAAATATGGGTAATTACTGCCAAGTTTGGAAAATACCGTCATGTTTGAAGTCAGGGCCGTAGATGAGGGCGTGCAAAGCGTGCCTTTGCACAGGGCCTCCAAAAATAAGGCCCATTTTTTGTAAAATCTATATAGTGTGTATATATATAGGGTAATTATTTTTGAAAATAGTTGATTACTTTATTTGCCCGAACGATCTAACTATTCAGGTTATCCAACCAAAGGTAAAAAATTCACTTTTTCTTATCCTATTTTCATTTGTTCATTTCCGATTTTAGATTTTTTACTAATTTTATTTGTTCAAGTTCAAAAAAGTGATCATTTCTCAATCTCACATTTGTTTTTAGTTTTTTTTTTTGGATTTTCTTAAAGTTATTTTTGGTATTGTATTGATTTAATATAAGGCCTGTTTTTTGTGACTCGCACCGGGTCTCCTAATTTATTGAGCCGGTCCTGTTTGAAGTCTGGTACTGCCAAAACATGGCAGTAATTATTCATATTTTTGGAATAAAAACATGGCAATCATATTTTGGAATTTTCAAACCTTTTTAGTCCTATTTCGGGTAATATTCTCAAAATTTAATTGCAATTTTTTTTGTTTATCTTCAACTTAAATTATAATTGAATCTATTTTTTTTATTCTTTATCAATACATACCAAAATGTTTATTAATCAAAATAAAATAAATTTATTTCTGTAATATTTTTTACTACTGAAATACACAACTCTTTACTTTTTTTCTTCAACTGAAATCACTACTGAATTTATTTGTGTAATATTTCTTACATTTATACACTCTTTTTGTAAAATATTTTTCATATTCATACTCTTTCAAAAAAGATATATTTCTTGTCTCTTTTATATGTATTTAGTGTTTTCAAGACATTAAATTTGTTTATTTCATTTTAAATTTGATAAAACATGAAATTACATTTTTCATGTGAGTTATGTTTATAGACAATTTTTGGAGTTACATTTGATAGTCTTTTTTGGAGTTACATCTTTTTAGGTGCGAATTACATCTTCTTGTGCGTGAATTACATCTTTCTATGATTCGGGTACATTTGGGTTTGCCTCAACAAGTTACATTTTGCATACACCTAAGTTAGATTTTCATCATCGCGGGCTATATTTTTCATAACACAAGTTATATCACAAAATAAACCTCGAAACAAAAACAAAACATTTTTTTTCAAATAAAAATGATGTTTTTGGCAAAAGAAAAAAAAGGAATTTTTGAAAGAAAAAAAAAACTGTTTTTTGGCAAAAAAAAATAGTTTTCTATAAAGCATATTGGGAAAAGTACATAAAATGTACTTGTGGCTGGGCCCATTTTCAGATAGGGTCATGTGTTTCATTCTTTATCAAAGTGGTTCATGTGTTTGAATTCCGTTATCACAAGAGGGTCACGCCGTTAAACACGTCTGAAAAAGACCGTTAAAAGTAACTCTGATTTTCAAAAGTACCCGAAAAATTAAAAGAAGAATACTGAAAAGTGCGCCTCGTCAAGTTGACCTCCAAACCACCTTCGCCTTTGGATTTTTCAGATCTTTTTGAATTATTTTTAAAAATGATTTCGATAATATCACTATTCCAGTGGACTTTCGGGTGATAAGGGTGGGTGAAAACAAAAAAGAAAGATGGCTTAGCGGACGTCTTATTGAGGCGCACCTTCCGGTATTTTTCTTTTAATTTTTCGGGCACTTTTGAAAATCGGAGTTACTTTTAACGGTCTTTTTCAGACGTTTTTAACGGTGTGACCCTCTTGTGATAACGGAATTCAAACACATGAACCATTTTGATAAAGAATGAAATGCATGACCCTATCTGAAAATGGGTCCAACCACAATTACCTTTTCCGTACTTTTCCCAAACATATTTATGGCCTTAATACTCGTGAGTATTAATGTCTACGTAAATTAATTGAACCATTAGATTCCCTTTTTATTGTTTACATTAGATAGTATATGAACTAACTTCTTCTTATGCGTGTGTTACATCTTTTTTATACATGTCTTTCATCTTTCTATGTGCCTGTTGCATTTTGATTTGTCTAAAAAAATTACATTTTGCATACACCTAAATTCGATTTTCCACCAATGTGTATTACAATCTCCATCAATGCGAGTCACACTTTCCATAACACGATTACATCACAAAAGAATCATTAATCGCTTTGCAGAAAAAAAAAATTCAAAAAAAAATTAATTTTTTGGCAAAAAATGATTTTTTGAAAAACATTTTTACGGTTTTAATATTAAAACCAAAATATATTCACCATTTAAGTTAACCCTTGCTATTGAAACAAAAAATCACTTTTTGCAAAAAGAATATGATTTTTTTGGCGAAAAAAGATTTATTGGCAAAAAAGAAATATAAAAACTTTTTTTGCCATTAATATTAAAAACAAAACATATTAACTATATTACCTATTTAGGTAAAGTAATTGAACAATTAGACTCCTATTTTTCATTAAAATCAATGTTTTATTTCTTATAATCCGTATTAGAAAGTTACATTTCAATTTGCCGGCAAATATATTTCTTATCAACGTGAGCTACACTTCTTTACACATGAGTTACACCATTCTCCTACTGGGACAATGAAGTAAACAAAAAAGAAGTTAATGTTCACGCGTGTGATTGGCGTGAACAGTAACACGCCTTTTTGCTGTGGGAGCACCATGCTCACCATGGGTTGCTCCCACGGCATTTCCACCTAATCCCAAATGTATTGCAAAAAAATTGAGATGTACTACTAATTTATTACTCTATGTAATAAAATAATATATGGTCTAACCATAAATGTCAGTATTCTTATAATTAAGATAAAGCTTAAACTTGTAACATCTTCTTTGGTAGGACCACAATGATTTATTAGACCACAAAGTACTTGATTTATTTATTGCAAACTTATATACGGGAATTGCAACTCCATTTTAAGATGGTGCAAGTGATTCACATTGAATATCGTTACAGAGTCGCACACTCACGGTTGGGACAATGAGGCAAACTATACTGTTTCGTGGATGATTTCATTCATCCACAATGATAATTGATAAAGGATACCCAAATTTTGATGTATAATTTGAGTATTGATGTTTCCTGGTAACCAGCTGCGAAACTATTCCAAATTCGAAAATCCAAATTAGAACATTGAATGGTTTTTGAGTGGAAAGCCAGAAGAGTGGATTTCCATGACCAAATCAGCTCAAGAGCGCTAGCTAGGTATCTTCCACGCTTATGCCTTCTTTCAATGTTTCTTCATTGCCTTCTTCTAATCTTCTGCCCTACCATAATGACAACAAGAAAATATTTTAGGGTTCCCACCGCTATTCGATACCCCCACTTATGTAAGCCTCAAACACCCTATAAACTTATAACGCTGCATATTTGTATAAATACACTTTAAACATTACTATAAATTCAACTAGATGATGTTTTTACTATTATCATAATATCGTGTTCAGTTTATAATAGTTCTTCTACTTTCGCTGGAAGAAGTTTGACTTGCCTGTTACGACCTTTGAAAAGAATATAGTAGACGGGATCTTGAGAAGAGAGGCGGAATAGCTGTACAACAACGTAGATACACGTGCTAAAGCTGTTGAAGCCCCAAAACATACAACAGCTTGTAAGTGAATTGAATGTCAGAAAATAAGATTGGCGGCATTTTGGAACCGCATTGAAATGCTAGCTGCCATGATATGCATCACGGTGGATTGAGTAATGAAGAACTAGATATCTTAAAAATGAGGGGAGAGTAACACCTTCCCAAACATGCTAGTAAAACTATCCAACAAGCAGCACTTATCCAACTCGACTCTTTGTATGAAACCCAGACCTGTTGATTAAGTGACTTTAAACAATACATCATAATCTGATGGCCATTACTTGTCATTGCATAAATAACTGAGCATATCAAAGGGACGGAGATTCTATTACATTGCATTTATTTTCATTACCTGGTTCAATACATTTGTACCACAATACATTGTACCAAGAAACCTTAAATGACTTTAAACCTCTATAAAATATATACGTACCGAAAGAACCACAATACTAATGTATAAATCAACTAATGTTGCAGATACCCACCTACACAGATATATTAGTAGACATTAAACAGATTTAGATACAGAAAGTATCAAGGATGATGTAACAAGTTTATGATGAGTGTCATAGATATAGCCTTAACATGACAGTTATTGTAGTAGTTCATAGTTAACATATAGGGGATGATATGGAAACTCCTTACGGTGTGTATAATTCTCTGCGAAAGGGAGATCCATCTGTGACAATGGTGTAGATCAATGCTCCTAACATTAGACAGCCCAAAGCAATGAACACAGCTTTTGCAATTCCAACAGGGAACTTTTTATTACTTTCTGCTCTGTTCCTAAATAAATACATATATAAATGAATAATACCAGAGCAGTAGTGAGCAAGGTGTTACAACATCCAAGCCTTAATCCAAAAAGAATTTGGGGAGTGAGCAAGGTGTAAATTGATAAATTCAAAACATAAAGCTCATGGAAATATTAAAATATATTCCTTCTAGCCATCTATAAAAAGTCTTATGTGGCAACGTACAACTTGTAATTTTGTTAATGCACTGCTCTTTGAAGTCATTTTGATGCAATAGCATTTCTTAGCAAAAAGAGATTTTTAAAAAGGCCTCCTTTTATAGGGTGAAAGGGGTATATGCAACAAAATACATATTTCTTTTTCTTTTTCTTTTTCCTTAGTCAGGTGATTGTTTCATAGCGAGTAAAGAACAGAAAACAATAAAGACACAAAAGACATACAAGAGCTTCGGGAAAACCTCCAAAAGCCCAGAAGGAACCCTCCCCAAAAGAAATGTTTTAAGGAGATGACCTATCCACACCCCATTCATGTTTAAATGCTCTTGCTACTTCCCAATTTCCTTTTAATGGACGAATTGTGTTTTGATATACTTATCTACTTTCTAAACAAATCATAACCACATAATTTGACATTCTGATTTCCTGTGTAAAGAAACAAATGCGAAGAACAATTGCAAACAGAGTGGATATATTTTTACAACTTAATCCCTACTTGGGAGTAAATGAAACTAGAAACTTGGATATATCCTTACTCACATTCTGATATCAAATAAATAATGGAACTTGAATATCTCCTTCGTAATTTCATAAATTATACATTTGTTGATACATTCCATATATATCATTGTTAAAACTCACGTTTTCCCACGGCGTAGCAAAACATAGTAAATTGGATCTTGCATTGATTCTTTAGGTGACAGTTTAAGGAGCTGCAAGACAATATAGCTGCATGTTGTAATGCTGTAAAGAGAAGAATGAGAAGGTTATACCATTGTTAAATAAATGACTATATCCATTCATTTATAACACTACCAAATTATACCTATTTATAAACTATACCTTCCCCAGCATATAAGTAGAGCAACCCAGAGAACAGCAAAGGTCCAGCTTGTTTCCTTGTACACAACCCAAGCCTGATAATAATTATTTTTTGGTAGACACGGGTTAGGGCCTACCGGAGTATCGGTGTTTGTTGAAGTAATTGTTATAGACCTGTCAAGTGTCCAGTTTGATGATACTAAATGAACTAAATGAGAGTCTGATCCGATTGCAGTTTGTTTGTTAGGCACACAAGATTTAGTTAACCCGCTAAGTATCTGTTGGACTCATTTATCTACCTCAAATTATCCAAATCCATTTCAGTAAAAGGGCGTGTTCAAATATTTATTCCACACCGACCAAGTATAAAAGTAATAGTATTGTGTAGTTATTAACCACCAAAAGTCTTAATAGTGTTGTGTATTCGTGTCCACATTACAAGTCCATATCCTAGAAAGTATAAATGGATTTTTAATATTTTTCCAACCAGAAACACACAATGATCTAAAATAATAATATGTAGTAATAACTTAAAAGAAGTAGAAGATGGCTCTGGTCTTTCATACCCCAATTGCAAAGGTGTTGATGTAAAAATCAATCAATGTTACAGCCATCCACCTATAAAAATCCAAACACGTAAGGAACTATTCTCTTCCAAACCATTCATTCGCTGCACATAGTATATATAAAATTATTTCAGCATCTGCCATCTCTTTTAACAGGACCCGTTGACCCAAACAAAGACCCCAACCGCCGCATTGAAAAAAAAAAAAGAAACTAAAATAATAGATTTATGTTTTCAATTTCGATAAAAATAAAATTATTTCACGCCACACTGGCCACACGCACATCATGAACCATATACCCTCTACGACACCTTCTAAGTTCTTTGGCAGACTATCATCATAAGAAAGATTTTTTATGCAGCATACCCCCCCCCCCCACCCCACTGAAGAGTTTATATTAACTAAATGTATTTTGTTCATGAATGGGTGACCAAATCACCAAATATATTTCCTTCACAAATTTACTCCATTTCTATTATCTACTCATTACTTTTAATGCAGAGATATCTATAGGATGTGAGGTATCAGATTTATCAACTTAAAATCTTTTTTTCATTGAGACAATAAAACATACTCCCGTATCTGTGATAGTAAAAAATAGATTATTCCAATAATGGATTATACGTACAATCAGTTACTTTTAAAATTGATCAATTGTGTCTGCTTAACTTAATAAATTTAGTCAATTATTGTCAAAACAGATTAGTCAGAACCAAATTTTGTTTGATAAAGTTCATGCAAAGGGGTTTGGTAAGAACTTGTTTCGTCTGAGTACAGCAAAATTCAAGTTTTATAAGCAAAAAGCATATGGAAATAGGTTTTAAGGAAAACTTTTTTATGTTCTATAACTATCAGCAAAAGGGTATGAAAAAAAATATGGAGACCTATATGAAAACAGGTTTAAACAAATATAAGCTGTTAAAAAACATAGGTTACAATTTAAAATTTTCAGATGTTAAAAACAGGTGTCTTTATTTGTTTACTTCACACAAACTACAAACACAATTCTGGGGAAAAAAATTCAATCTAGTCTGGATCATAAACAGAAGAGAGACGAGAACATACGGAGTAAGGAGTTCGATGCGGAAAGGAAGACCGTCGCTGATGACGGTGTAGATGACCGTTGCTGTAATTACACACCCCAATATGGTAAACCCGCTCTTCAACCCCATCGCCAAATCCATTTTTTCTGTCCAAATTTTGGAAGAAAACTAAAAGGTGTTTATTCTGAAGAAGATAAGCCCCACTACAAATTTCTTTGACATTGTTATGTTGCTTGTAGATATCAACATTCCATTAAGATAAGTAGGTCTAAGGATGAAAGAAGGCTAGGAGTCCACGTTCTACCAATGCTCTTTCGTTCTTTTGATCGCGTTCAACCTTTCACTCTGCCTCTCCCCTTCAGAAAATTAAACTAGTAACTAGTAATCTTGACCAAAAAAATTGTAAAAAGGAAAAGTTGACTGCAGAATTGGGTGGTCTTTTATTTGGAGGGAAAAATAAATAAAATACTCCAAATTTTGAAGGAGTGTGAGATAAATACCCTAAACTTTCATGTGTAATTTAAATACCCCAAACTTTATATAAAAAGTTATTTTAACACCATGGTCATATATGTTTTTTTTTTCAAAAATAGAAATTTAAGGTGTTAATTGCATAATTTAAAATAGCAAATTAAAAATGTTGCAATTATATAGAGTGGGAGTAGTATTAATTGTTTTACAACGGAAGTTTAAAATGTTAATTGTATCTTCATGAATGCTAAAATATTTTAAACTATGAAATTAACACCAAAAATTAACATTTTTGAAAAAAATATTACATGACCATGGTGCTAAAATAACATTTTATAAAAAGTTTGGGGTGTTTAAATTACATATGCAAGTTTGGGGTGCTTACCTCACATCCTCTCAAAGTTTGGGGTATTTTAATTATTTTTTCCTTATCTATATTTGTATTTGAGATTTTCTTGTTTCAGTTTATATTTAAGTTTTGTTTGATCTCAATTTGTTCATTTATATCTTCTTTGATTTGATGGATTTTTATTTAGTGATTTTATAAAACAAAATTGTATCAATTAAAAACATTCTTACCATCAAACATTATTTAAACAAAATTCTAAGATAAAATGTGAGTAAATTTAGTATGCATATGATAATGGTCACTAAATGTATATTCATATTTTTAACACCGTCTTCATTTCAATTATGCATTGATGCATGTCATTATTAAAAATATTTAGGTTTGAATATGATTTTAGTTTCTCTAAATATGACACATTTTGTTTTAGATCGCTGCAAATATTTTCTTTGTTTTTCATCCCTGTAATATGCTTTATGTTGGAATTTTGTCCACCTCTAATTCTGAAACAACTCTACTTAGAAAGTTTATTATTGTATGTTGCATAAATCTACTAGAAACATTTAAATTTATCATTTTAAAAATTTTTTGAGGCTAATATGAGATTTAAAACAATATAAAACTAGTTAATTACATTTTTAAGATAAGTATTAAAAATCTTCTAAAAATATTTAATACTTTTTGAATGATATGACAAAGAATTAGAGAAAACTCATTAGTCGGGGTTGTTTCGTTGTCAAACGGAAGTTGCTATAATTAGTCATGGAATAAAAAGAAAACCAACATAAATTTCAGGAATGAAAAACAAATAAAATATTTTGAAGAGATTTAAAACAAAGAGCCTGTTTGGTAGCATGTAAATCGACTATTTTTGCTGATTCTGCTGAAATTTAGAAGTTCTGGTTGAAGTGGCTGCATTGACTGATTCTACTGATTTAAGAAAAAATTATTTTTAAAATATATTTTGTTAATAAAATAAGGAAAAAATTATATGTAAAAATAGCTAAAATGGTCATCTATAGTAATTTCAGCCAATACAGTCAGAAAAGTAACTTCAATCTTTCTTTTTCTGTTTATTACACAATTCAGCATGCGAAGACAAAAGTTACGTGTTTGGTGAAAAAGTTGTCTGATAAACCTGATAAGCTGAAAAACAGTGTTACCAAACGGCCTCAAAATGTTTCATACTTAATTTGTAGAGACTAAAAACATATTTATACTATATCTTTTATTGTTTTTAAGTACGTTGGTTTTCGGTTCTTGTTTTTAAGTACGTTGGTTTTCGGTTCTTATTTTAACCATAACCAATTGAAAAAGATGTAGTGAAAGGCAAGGCATTGAAGGCAAGATTGATCCGAACTATTCCGTGGGGTCCTTACAATGGTAGGTCCATTTTACTTAAATTTCGACTTTCAAGATCAACTCAATAATCAATATGGAGACTTGATAAACAATACGATAGTATATTAATGAGAAGGATGAATGACTATTTATGATTCATCTAAAATATTTAGAGATTCTTGACTATTCATTATACGCTTCTTGAATATATGCCTCTTAGTTGACATATTAGGATGCTCAATGTATTTTTTTCGTTACAGAATTTCACTTTATTTTTACTATCTTTGCTCAATATATATGACATAAGGGTCAGTTGAATACATTCACATGTACGAGATGGAGGTAGAGTAAATGCATCTAACATTGTACATAAATTTGATTTTTTTAGTGTTAATGGATACACATGTTACATTAACACATTAGTCGAGCTTATTTGACTAATGAATTGCTAATAGGTTGATTTCTGAAGGTTGACGCCAGCCATTTGCCTCTCGGAGTCTCGGTCAACTTCCCCTTTGCTAATGCACCCTTGCAAATCGAAGCCCCCCCACAGGTTGAACTCTCAAGGTCGATTTTCACTTTTTGATCGACATTATGAAGGTTGACGCCAAAATCTTGATCGATTTTCCCTTGATGGACCACACCATCTTACTCAGAACTCTGATTGTCAACTCAGTTACATTAACGTGTTATGTAACTAGTGTACTAAATTAACATTAAACATTCAAGTTGATGTACTCAATGAATTTTTCCCTCCTCAGTATATACTAACTTTGTCTTTACTGATACAAAGTTTATTTCATTGTCCGTGAGGTGCACTAATATGGCCATATGGGGCATGGGGCAAAGCATTTCACTTTTCGATGCCCGTGAAGAATAGCATCAGTACTAACTACTAAGGATGTTTTTAATTGGACTGTAATTCGCCCCAGATCAGATCAGATCAGATCAGACCAGACCCGACCAGACTTGGATAGTTATAAAAATATAAAGAGACCAGACATTATCAGACCAGACCAGTTCAAACCAGATCAGACCAGACCCGACCATCAAATTACAGTCGAAGTAAAAACATCCTAAGTTATAGTTAGATTGATCCCCACTTTTAACCTAACTTGGAATTATTAATTTTTCAAATGAGTATTCACACTTTCATACCATAGAGAATGTTGTTGTTAGGAGCATAAGATCCTGGGGGTGGGTAGCGAGAGATCATGATGGTAATTTTATGGGAGGAGGATGAGACTCTTGCAAAGCAGGTTGTCCTATCCGGATAACGGAGGTCATAGAGTGAGAGAGGCTTTAGCTTAGCCCAAAAAGAAATTGTGGGGCCGGGTAATCCTTGAGACGGATGCGCAAGTTGTCACCACTGGCTTAGAATGCGAACTTGGAAATCCTTATTTCGACGTGGTGATTAAAGATATCAGACAACTTCATTTTGAAGCTAGCTTTATAGTCGTTATTGTAAACGATCTGCGAATCGTGCAGCTCATAGTCTAGCTAGAGCAACCCCTTCTCAAGCGGGGTGTCGCGAGTTTGATCGATGTCCTGATTGTATTTGTAGAGAACGATTGTCTAAATTAATACGGAGTATAATTATTGGCTTTTCTTACAAAAAAACAGAGAATATATGTTGTTAAATATGAAGTAACAAATTATTATTTTGAATAGGGACAAAATATTGTCATTGAGCACTTAAACTTTGTTATAAAAATCGTACACTCTTATAGTTTAGATTGAAATATTTTCATTGAACATCAAGTCTATTATAAGAATTTTAAAATCTCACTTGACTATCAAAACATCTTCATCGAGTAACTGTGCTCTTCTACCATAAAGTATTGAGACTATGTGAGCAAGTTCTAACCTGACCCTTGTGAGTTTCCATTTGACTTGCAGTGGTCATCAGCTCCAATCGATGAATGACAAACTGCCCTTTGTTGTCGTCTAGTTGCGTCGTCCAGTGTTTGGTTGGCTAGAAATGGCCGTGCACTGCTCCACAACAGTGTCTCAAAGTCAAGGCTCCTTTTGCTAGTCGCTCAGCTGCGTCGTCCCAAAGAATAGATCACCCCTGACGCTGAGATTGCCATGTTTGATTGGCGGAGAAACAACCATACTCAAGTCTTGATCGCCGATCGTTGAAACCGTATCCCTTAATTGAAAGCAATATGTACTATGCACATCATACAACCAATTGTATGATATAATTTCTTGATTAAAAAGGTGAAATTCATACCAATAATCCGTACTTTTAGTGATTCTACAATAATAATCCCTCTACTGAAACAGTCGATACAAATAATCCAAACTCGTAAATTTGTCTACATAGATAGATTAAACCTTCATAGATAGATTATTATCCTTCGAAAAAATAATTATAGTAATGATATAAAAAACACTAAACTAACATGTATGACAATGGTGAACAAAGTTAATAATGTATCCTTAAATATTAAATATAAAAAGATTAATCTAATCTATCTATGTAGACATGTTTATGAGTATGGATTATTTATATAGACATCTTCGGTAAGGATTATTATTGTAGAACCGCTTAAAGTATAGTTTATTTGTATGAATTTCGCCGCTTAAAAATGAGTTCAAATGTACAACATTACGTTGAGATATGATCGAAAAATGATGCATATGTTAGGATTGAAAACATGTTGAAATAGATAATCCTATATCCACATCTGAGCCAAAAAGAGAAAAAGATAATCCTATATCCTATTCCCTTCTTCCCTTATAACTTTGTCAACTTTCCTATTTTGGATGTCCCATTAACTTTGTCACTTTTCCTTTTAAGTAGAAAATTTGTAGTTCCATTTAATTCTCTCTGCTCTGCACAAACCTCAATCACACATTTTTTACTTTATTAATTCCGTGTCTGTCGATCAAATTTGGCAAAGTTATTAGGGACGGGGGGAGTATATAGAAATACGGCCAAATGGATACCATTATCTTCCAATAAGTTATATGCATTTTAAGTTAGTTTTCTCTAATATAAATATGAGGTCATGTAAACAATCAGGCATAATCAAATTATATTTCTACCGCATGCATCTTATATTCAAGATGTTTTGTAGAGGGATGATACATGACTTAGATCTATCTTGACCCGATCTCAATGTTTTTACTTAGATTGTTTTCACCCCTAAACTAGATCAGACAAGAGTAGACTAGATTAGATCAGACAAAATTGGACAATTATAAAATACACAAAGACCAATCATCTATCAAATCAGACTAGATCTAACTAATCAAATCAGATCTCACTAATCAGATCAGACCGGATTAGAAATCCATTTAAAAATTTCAAACCGGGCTAAAAAATTATGGGTCGGTTAGTCGGTTAGATAAGATGTAAGGATTAATGAGTAAACTCTACTACATCATCGGTTATAAAGATATCTAAACTCTACACTTGATGCCTTTATTGAGACGCCGTTTGGTAACACTTTTTCGGCCTATTAGGCTTATCAGTCAACTGTTGAAGTTACTTTTCTGGTTGTATTGGCTAAAGTTACTCTAGATGACCATTTTAGCTATTTTTACATACCCTGTATAATTTCTTCTTTATTTTATTAATAAACTATATTTTTAAAACAATTTTTTCTTAAATCAACAGAATAAACCAATACAACCACTTCAGCCAGAACTTCATAAATTTGAGCAACATCAACCACATCAGCTGATTTTTGTGCTACCAAACGGGCTCCCAATTAACCACACCTAGAATCAAGTAACTCCTGCGGCCATTAATTAGTAATTACTACGGATTAAGATGTAGTAGTCCAGAGTCATCCACTCATCCATGGCCTCAAGGCAAAATGACGTCACATAGAAGGAAAATGCTAAGGATACACAAATTGTACACAACTTGTACACAATGTCGGTCACAGACAATTGGTACGGAGTTGTCTGTGACCACAGACAAGAGTTGTCTGTGTACACAGACAAATTTTGTCTGTTTCCACAGACATTTATTTTTTTGTAAAAAGTACTTGTCAGTGTCAGACGGCTTACAGTGTACCTTTTACAAAAAAAGTAAATGTTTGTGGAAACAGACAAAATTTGTCTGTGTACACAGACAACTCTTGTCTGTAGTCACAGACAACTCCGTACCAATTGTCTGTGACCGACATTGTGTGTACAATTTGTGTACAACTTGTGTACACATAGAATTCCTTCAACAACTCCCATCTGCAATCTATTTATCTGTCTAGGAAGTAGGTCGGCCTCACATCTTCTCCATCTTCTTCTTCCATTTTCAACTTTCGCTTTTTATTCCTTGCTCAATAGATAAAGTTAGTTTTTTTTTCCGGGATCAAACAGAGATATTACGTAATTTACCCATTAAAACAGGGAGACGAGATTATATATGGCGACGGTGCTTCATCCAGTCTCCAACACTTTACCACCCACAGCCACTACCATTACCTCCAAATCAATGGCCTATAAGGAAGTCGAATCATGCTCAACAATGGCGGAGCTTAATGAGGTCCATGCACAAACCATAAAGCTTGGTCTTTCAAGTGATAACAATGCAATGGGCAGAGTTATCAAGTTCTGTGCTATATCTGAATCAGGAGACTTAAACTATGCCCTCAAAGTGTTTGACACTCTGCCTGAACCAGACACCTTCATATATAACACTATTATCAGAGGGTACTTAAAAAGAGGGCTTCCTAAACGTGCAATTGTTTTTTACTCCCAGATGTTGATGACCTCAGTCTGGCCTAATAGCTTTACTTTCCCTCCGCTAATCCGATGTTGTTGTCTCACCAATATGACCGGAGAAGGAAAGCAGATACATGGTCACGTGATAAAGTTTGGTTTTGGGTCTGATGGGTTTTCCCAGAACAATCTGATTCACATGTATGGAAATTTCAATTGCTTGGAAGAAGCCAGTAAGGTGTTTGATGGGTTGCCTTGCAAAGATGATGTTGCTTGTACAACATTGATAAGTGGGTATGCACAGTGGGGGCATATTGACGAAGCTTCAAGTGTTTTTGAGTCAATACCAGAGAAAAAGAAGAACTCCATTTGTTGGAATGCCATGATTTCAGCATATGTCAAGAATGACAGATTTCATGAGGCATTTGCTTTATTTGAGAGGATGCGAGCTGAGGGCGTGCCAGTTGATAAGTTTGTTGCTGCAAGCATTTTGTCAGCCTGTGGAGGACTAGGAGCTTTAAAGCAAGGGGAATGGATCGTGGAACACATCAATAAAAGCAACATTAATGTCGTGGATGACTCCAAGTTGGCTAATAAGATCATTGATATGTACTGCAAGTGTGGATGTTTGGGTAAGGCATTTAATTTTTTTAATGTTCTGCCAAGGAAAGGGATATCTTCCTGGAATTGCATGATTGGAGGGTTTGCAGTGCATGGTAGAGGAAAGGAAGCAATTGATCTTTTCAAAGAAATGGAAAGGAAGGGGCTGGTTCCGGATGATGTTACCTTTGTGAATGTACTCAGTGCATGTTCTCATTCAGGGTTGATTGAAGAAGGGAAGTTTTACTTTGATTATATGAACACAACCTACAAGATTGAGCCTAGGGTTGAGCATTACGGATGTTTGGTTGATATGTTCGGAAGAGCCGGATTACTAAATGAAGCAAGCAGAGTTATAGAGCAAATGCCTTATATGAGTAGTCCGAATGTAGGTGTCATGGGTGCCCTTCTTGGTGCCTGTAAAATCCACAATGACATCGATTTAGGTGAGCAGTTCGGTCGGACAGTGATTGAGTTGGATCCTCACAATAGTGGCCGCTACATTTTGCTGGCTAATCTATATGCCAATGCTGGTAGATGGGAAGATGTTGCTGAAGTGAGAAAGCTGATGAATGACAGAGGGGTGAAAAAGTCTCCAGGCTACTCGATGATTGAAGTGGAGGGAGGTGTGGTTGATGAGTTCATTGCAGGAGGAATAACTCATCCCCAAGCCCAGGAAATATATGCTAAAGTTAATGAAATGCTCAACAGAATTAGATCTGAAGGCTATGTTCCTGATGAAACAGATGGTGTGTTACTTGGTATCAGTGAAGAGGAGGAAATGGGAAACCTGATAACGAACTACCATAGCGAGAAATTGGCAATTGGGTTTGGATTGTTGAAGACTAAACCTGGTGAAATTATTCGGATCACTAAAAATCTGAGAGTTTGTAGAGACTGTCACAGAGTTAGCAAGCTAGTATCGAAACTCTACGATCGAGAAATCATTGTAAGGGATAGGAATCGGTTCCATCATTTCAAAGGAGGAGAGTGTTCTTGTAATGACTACTGGTAAAGAACTGGAATGTTTATCTTCTTTGAATCTGAAATGTATCTTATATATATATATATATATATATATATATATATATATATATATATGTATGTATATATATATATATCTGAGAAACATGGACTGTAGCTACTAGAGAAGGTTTCAACTCCTCATCATCATCATTACCCCAGTTCCGCAAAGGCTCCCACCTACGGTGGGATAAGGGAGTCGGATGTACGAAGCTTTACTCCTGTACTAAAGCATAGAGATACTGTTTCCGGATGACCCTGCGAAAATTACGTCGAAAATTGCATGAAATGACTGCTTATTGATAACAAAGAAGCACGGACAGTTTAGTGAGTCACTTTGCTTTATTCGTTCATATTCTCAAGCCAAAAAATATTGAATTTTTGGCTCCATTGCAAATGATAGAAAAAGAGTGGCTGTGGAAGTGTTGGTCATGGCGGCACGGTGGCATATGGCCGTGATGGGTTAGGGTGCTCTCTGTGTGTGGTACTTTTCTCGACTTTTGAGTTCCGTTAGATCCTTTATGAGCATATTCAATAGTCCAATGGAGATTTGTGGATTGCCAAAGATACAAATTAGAGGTTGATGTAAAAAGAAGAAAAGAACCTTCTCCAATGCAAATATCTATTAATTGTGATGCTGATTTGAAATTCTAAAAAAGCCACCCTAAACTTCAGCATCTGATTTCAAAAGCCTGCTAAATATGCTGACTCAGCAAAAAGTTCTCTCGATAGAAATCCCTTTTGAGGGTAAATCAGTAGTATATGACAGCAAAAAATGTGTGAAGTTCTAAAGGTGCGATGCTTCACCAAGGAAAAGCCAGAAAAGAGAAAACAAAGATTTTTTCCCAAACCTCTATCTTCTTCAATCTTCTCCAAACTGCTTCAAACTTATCCAGGTAATATTTTTTAAACTTTCTCCTTTTAATTTGGTCATGGTTGGCTGCATACAGGAATTTACATGCAGATTAGTTTTATATAAATATGGTGTGTGATTTGGGAGCCTACTTTTGTCTAATTATTGCTTCAGGTTTTGTTTCTCTCTCGTTATGTGTTTGGTTTTACTTTCTATAATTATATGCTCCTGGCCGTTATGTTGACTAGCCTATTTTAGCTTAGTAAGGTGCAGATTCTATCTTAAAAAAATGCACCAGTCTCTTATGGGCATGTGTGCTCTCCTCTCCAAACCAAGGTCGTCAAACTTGCGACTTGTGAGGAACACTCACGGCGCTAGAGTACTCATAACGCCTGAGGTGCAAGGCGCAAAAAGTGCTCGCTTTACTCATGCCAAGCGCATTATTTAGAAAATACTCCCTCCATCTCGAAAAGGCTTGTCAAAGTTGACTTTCACGTGGATTAATAAAGTAAAAACTGTGTGGTTGAAATTTGTGCAGAAGAGAAAGAATTAACTTTAGCCACATAAAAGCAGAAAGCATAAATTATATATAGTGTATGAAGTTGTTAAATGAGTTAGATTATATGAAGTTTTTATACAACAAAAGGATGACTCACCGAAGGTTGGTCTAGTAATAGGGTTCATCCATTTTAGGCACATGAATATCATGAGTTGTAGAAACCATAACAACCTTTTTAGGAGAGCTTCCCATCCATCATTTCTCATCCTAGAGAGTCTTCCTTTGCATATCTTCACAAGGGTCAATGCATTATGAGATCTTGACCACATTTTTGCAAATCCATAATGAAACATCATTCCCAGCTAACACATCAACCATCAAATAGCATCAAAATCAAATCTAAAGAAAGTAGGCTATCTAACAAAGTCCTTGTCAGACCAAGAACATCACAAGTAACATCATAATCCATTATTTCAATAACACCAATTACAGGAACAAACAAAATCATCAAGCTAGTGAAGGTCTTGTAGTGCAATTCCCCAATGTGTATCACCCGCCCTTTGCAAGAGCCGGTTGTTGATTCAAACATGTGCCTGTTTCTACCAAACCCAACTCAATTATATCACACAAATAGACATGTTTTTTTTGTTCCGAAGCAACTCTTTTATTTTGTTAGAACACCCAATTATATTGATTATAATGTTGACTAGACTCAAAATAGTAGTCACATTAATGTGATACTTCACACCGGCAATAAAAGCCAATGGGAGATGGTGAGTGAAACATTGCACATAAAAAGCACCTAAATTTCCATGTTGAGTTAATGCTTTTATCCTACTAAATCGATCACTCATATTACTTGCTTCGTCATACCCTTGAGGCCTTGACCTTGAACCTTGGACAAACTCAACCCATTAGAGATAATGTATTTAAAAGAAATTTTTTAATGGATAAATCACTTGTTTTTTTACATGTGTAATGTCAAGAAATCTTTTCACAACATAACCAACACTATCAACATTATACACAACAAGACCCATTTGCTCTTTACCCAAACAATTCCCCAACTCATCAACTAACAAACCAAATACATCATTGTCAATTTCAATAGCAATATTAGAAGTAGTTAAATATTAAAAAGCAAAAGTAAGGTCTTTTTGAATTGACAGGGAAATCATCCCACGAAAGTATGTGACGTCACTAGGCTTTCGCAACCCTTTAACATATTCAAGAATACGACCCTGGTAAGATGAGTCCTTCCCTCATTATGTCCTTTAAATGCTTGTCCACCCTCAAAACTAATTTAGTAGTTTAAAGTGATGTTTTCACTTTCATTTCATATTCAAATTCAAAAAATTTTGTTGATTTGTTCACACAAGTAGTGATACTTTGCTTTGAATTTATAAGAGTTTTACATTTCACTACATATGCTTTATGAAATCACTATTTGCATGTTGATTAAGCTCATGTGCCCTCTGGTTTCAACCCTTAAATCCATTCCATTGATCAACAAAAGAATCATGATCATTCTTAGTGAAAGTGAAAATGATGTGTTTTGCTTGTCATGCTATGTGTTTAACATTTAAGGAAGTATGGTTGTGATTCTTTTGTTAATCAAGATAATGAATTAGGGATTGAAATCATAATGTTCATGACCTTATTCAACATGCTAATAGTCATTGTCATATGTATAATGAAATGTAGTGTATTCAAAGCGAAGTATCACTACTTTCGTGAAGAAATCAACGGAGTTTTTAGAATATGAATATGCAATAAAAATGAGAACGTCACTTCAAACTATGAAATTACTTTTGAGGGGTGGACAAACATTTAGAGGACATGATGAGGAGAGGATTCATCTTATCAGAGTTATATTCTTGAATATGTTAAAGGGTTGTGAGAGTCTAATGACGACACATATTTTCGTGAGATGACTTCCTTGGCTATTAAAAAATGTTTTGCTTTTGCTTGTTAATATTTAACCAGTTCCAATATTGGCGGTGAATTAGAAATGATGTATTTGGTGTGTTATTTGATGAGTTGATTGATTGTTTGAGTGAGTAAATGACTCTTATTATGTGTTATGTTGATAGTGCTGGTTGTGTTGTGGAAATATTTCTTGGCATTACACATGTCATAGAAATATGCTCCATTTGTTATTTGTTAGATAGCTCTTTTAGACATATTGTCCCCTAATGAATTGAGTTTGTTCAAGTTTTGAGGTCAAGTGTATTATGGAACAAGTAATATGAGTGGCCGACCTAATGGTAAAAACATTTATTCAAAAGTAGAATTCCTCTCCTTGTATGTGCATTGTTTCAATCACCAGTTTCAATTGGCTCTTGTTGCTTGTGAAATATCACATTGATGTGAATACTTTTTAGGTCTGGTTAACAATGATGCCAATATAAATGGGTGATCTAACAAAAGATGGGAGTTGTTTTGTGACAAACACATCCCAATATGCTTGAGATAATTGTGTTGTGTTGGATACCTTTGGGACAAGTTTGAATCAATTGCAAGGGCAGTGAGTAGACATTGCAGTAGAGGACTTTACTAGTTTGATGACTTTGTTTGTTCCTGTAGTGTCTTGAAAATAAAGACCGATGATTTTAAGTGAACTACAACTACTTCATCACTAATTCCTCTTTGCAACTAGTTCATCGCTAATTGATGTGTTATGAGTGAGGAACTAGTTGCACAAACGTGATCAAGACCTCTTGAAGATATGTCAAGGAAGACTCCAAATGATGAGAGGCCATTCAAAAAGATTCCACCATCAAACTTATTTTGTTTCAAATTTGCAAGATTACAAGATTGATTGTCTTTTTAGTATTTTAGATTTGCAACTAAAGGAGTGTAATGCTTGCTAGATTTGATGTGGAAAATTTTGAGTTATTTCATGTTGTTGCATGCTTAAGTCATGCCTCTAACTTTGTGGGTTTTGATGATGGGAAGTAGTTGAGGATGAAAACATTCTGTCGATTTGATTTCATTGATTAGCCTGCAATCAATTTGCTAACTATATTGAGAATATGCCATTAGATCATTGTTTTCAAGATTAACAGGGCTTGCATATATTTCAAAGAAACTTAGAACAACCAAAAAGTACAAGAACATATCACACTGATATTTCCTCGCCATCAAGAGTAATCCCACAGTTACTACTACTTCTACCTCCATAAAACTTGCACTCCATATACTCAGTCTTGCTTCGGCTCAGTCCGATACCGTTGGTCTCAATGTTTGTCGTCATACTTTCAACTTTGATTTAACACCCGATTGTGTCTCATCAATCAATACAATATCGTCGGCAAACAGCATGCACCACGACACATCTTCTTGAATTGACTTCGTAAGCTCATCCATGATTATAGCAAATAAGGAGGGACTCAGAGCCGATCCTTGGTGCACTCCGATAGTAATAGGGAGCTCTACGGTCCTCCTACATTAGTACGAACACTTGTAGTACAAGCCTCACACATATTCATGATGAGACTGATATAGTTACGTGATACTCCTTTTCTAGTTAGGGCCCGCCAAAGGACTTCTCGAAATATCCTATCATAAGCCTTTTCTAAGTCAATGAACACCCTATCATATTTGTGTCATTCTAATTAATTCTTATTTTTTTTAATAGTTTACCAATTCAAAATCAATCACATTAACCCTACTTTTCTTTAAAATGACGCTTTAGCAAATAATAGAGATTTGACGCTTTTTAGCATTTTCAATAAGTGAAAACGTTGTTTGATAAATAGCTGTTCGACCCTAACCTTTTTGGACAGAACTGCTGGAAAAGAAACGTTGCAAATAACAGTGTTTTGAATTAACATTTTGAAATAGAGCATTATCTACAAATCATTATGACCGAATAACTAAATTACAGCGTGACAACTTATTCCGCTAGTCAAACCCGCTGACTGAATCTGTTATTAACAACCTGCTAACATGCTTTACTTTTCAATGTAATAGTTTTTTACTTGTCAAAGATACAATCATTGAATTTTTCCATTACACATGATCATTTTGATAATAATGTTTTTTAATTAGTTTTGAACACCCAGAATATATTAGGGCTAGATCCGCCACTGATAACACTATAACACAGTAACTATTCAGAAAAATATAAGCGTAATTTGACGTTCTCTCTTTTTAAGATCCGTTACATTATTCTAATATTTCATTAGAGGGTCATGTTCCACTGCAAGTCTGTAACAATGTCTAACTACTTAGAAAAATGAAAGCTTAATTTGACATTCTCTCTTTTTAACTTTTTAAGATCCTTTACATTGTTCTAAAATTCCATTAGAGGGTCATGTTAAATCAATTAGAGTCAATTTTTTTTACTGGAATATATGTTGCTCAGGAAGAACTTCAGATGAAAAGATTTCGACTTGCGAGAAAGATAATGAAAAAAACATGGAACTGAAACAGCACTCGTAAATTAAATTAGAGAAGCCAACCTTTATTGAAGGATTTTTTTAAACAGACAAGACAATAACAAATTCGAATCAAAGATGTCCACAAAGCTTCCATTTGTTATGAGAGATTTGAGATATAACAATCTCAAACGGAATGGGGGAGTGGTGGACTTTTTTGGGTAATGGTGATTGGTGATGTCTCTACAATATGGTTAACTAAATGGTGAAAGTACGCTCCTAGTGTTAAAACAAGAATCAGGAGGTTAATAGCAAGATGGAAATGCCGTTTGTGGCCAGGATTTGTATCAGAATCCTGTCTGAATAGGTTCTAACTTCTAATTCCTCCCATAAGATTATACCAGTTTCAATTCTGTTTTTAAGATAGCCTAAAACTAGAAATGAAACCAAATGTATCCCTATATAAATGTAATTGTGTTTTATTCCAAGTCTATCCCTATACAAATGTATTCATCTTATAGCATGTAATGAACAAAACCGCAATTCAATGTTGCATATGACCTGAAAAAATGGATGTAAATGTAGAAAGAAAAATCAATAAAAAAATCTAACTATCAAACGCAATATAATTCTGATGCTAGTTCGATGAACAAGCAATTCTCCAATTCCTCACATATAACACATATCTCTCTTTCTCTTTCCATTTTCAACCAATTCCTTTCTACCCCGAGTCCCTTCTCAGACATGTCCTTTCTTGCTTCCTTTTCTTCACTAACCAGCAACACGCACAATTCTTCCTCGACTTCGCTTCTTCTCAATGTTGGATAGAAGCTCATCTTCAAGGACTTAGACACAATATGGATATCCATAAAAGAATTCAAAATCTGACTCAACCCTGAATTTATACGGTCAAATAAAAGCCTCCTTTCAGGCTTAGACCAACACACCTGCTTACCATATTTCATCTCTAAGGCCTCAAATAATAATGGGTTTATAGGGAATTCCAAAGAATCGCATGTTTCCAAGTCCACTTCAAAGTTCAGACGTGCCTCGTCCAAAATGTCTACTAGGTAAGAGAAGTCTCTACTTTCTTCACTGCTAAATAACCCGAGCTGTTCTTGAGAGGAATAAAATGATTCCCTTTTTTCTGCATTTTCAGCAACTGAAAGGGCCATTTCAGATGCTTCAGAGTACGTTTCCTCTGAATTGTTTTCAAGAAGCTCAAGCTGCTCTACCACACCTAGCAAAATGTATAGAAACTGCATTAGGCCAGGGGATAGCTGTGCTAAGGCCCCGTTTGTTACATCTGGGAAATGTTTTCGTGAAAAAAAAATTGATTTATGCATAATATATGTAATACACAGTAATATTTAACCCACAAAATATAAAACACAAAACTACGTACATGCTTAAGATAAAGATGGGAAATGACTTCTTGCTTAAGATAGGAACTCCATTTCAGGAAAGTCCAAGGGTCTGTTTACAGCTTGGAAATGCTAAACAAGGAAAATGTAGAAGAAAATATAGGAGAGTTGGAAGGGAAAGTAAAGATGGGGGAGGATAAACCATTGGATGAAACTTAACAAAGTCATTGTTTGTATTTTTTCAAACTCAGTTTATTTATTCCTTTTCATTACACAAAGACTACAAATCTACACATGGAAAACGCTTCAAACTTTTAATTCATTTTTAAACTTCCCATTTTCTGATATAATAGCAAAAAACAAGAAAATAGATTTCCTTGGCACTTTCTGGGATTCAAATATACCCTAAATAGTCCATGGAAAACATTTTGATGGACACACATGAAAATGCCACCAGGAACTAAACAATAAATAACAATCTCTACGAAAGTAATTCTAAGCAGACAGGGACTAAATAAGCAAAGTAGATGTTATACACTAGCCATGTAAAATTAATATAGAAGGGCTAGTTTCACTTACTATGTAAATCTAAAACAGGAGCTTCAAAGCATTCAGATTTTGGAAGTTTCATCCCCTTAAAGTGTGGCTCGAGAACTGAATTTGGGCTGCTTTGATTTAGTTCCTTAGGAGAATTTTGGTCAATTGTGGTATGTTTCAAAGGAACCATTACGTTTAGAGGGGATCCATTAAATGATTCCTGCAATGACATGGGCAGTAATATAAGCTAAGGTGACAAGTTTGTAGCAAAGAATGCGACTACCTTTTTGCTGAAAAAGTTTATATTTCTTTATGAAATAGATTAATGAATCCTACATTATCAAATATCAGCACATAATATCTGTAGTGAAAAATAATTATGATGTATTTGAGAACAATATAGTAACCCTAGCCACAAACTCAATATGATTAGTAAATAGCTAAAAATCTCACTGTAAACAAGATAGCATGTAGAAGTATTGAATTAATGATATGTATGCTTTACATCTGCATCCACTTGGGAGAGGGGGGGGGGGGTGGGAGTACTTCACATTCATATGATACCTTCAAAGATTTTCAAAAAAATAACTCAGGTAAAAGTCTGACCACTACAATTAAAAGAAACCGAGACCAAAACCTAATAGGGAAAATATTACTACCTCCACCCAACAAGGATTGTCATATTTGACCTTTTAGCAAAAAATGTTAAACTTGGACCAATAACATAATTTTATTTTATACTCCGCACAAAAGTAATTATAATATAAAAGTGGTACTTGTTAAAAAACACTCACATAAGTACAAATTTATAGTTTTGACTAAAATATACCGATCCAAAACATTGGTCTAAGCTTAACATCTTCTACCAAAAAGTCAAATAAGCAAATCTTTGTAGGAAGCAGTACATATATGAAACAATAATTTTCACAACTTGGTATACAATCAAATATCTCTTGACACAAAATGCAAACCTGTCTAAGTGAAGCTTCCACATTGTAAGAGGAGAGAACATCTGGAGGAGACAAAGCACAAGCACTTGATTCAGAACGAATGTTATCAAACTCCGAAATTGAATTCCCAATGCTATGATTGGTTGGATTAGTCATTAAACATACTGTTTTCGTTGCAGAATCAGGACTTTCACTTGAAGATCTTGAAAGACCAAGTTTGAACTTGTAGAATCTAGACGCACTCTTCTTCTCTGGAATAACAATTCTTTCATCTCCAAGTTTAACATAATGTTTTTGGCTCTGTTTGGGACATTGCAAGTCACTTTTAGGATGCCGCACGGAACTATGTCTTACTTCAATAGTTTTTCCAGATGGCTTACAAAGATCTGAATGTCTCCGAGCTTCTAAAAGCTGATCATATTCTAATGAACTATCACTATTCTTCTTAACTGAAAATGAACTATTCTCCCACACACCAATAGAAGCCATTTTTTGCAGATAATCTTCTGACAGAATCCTTCTTGAGATTCTTTGTTCACAGAAAGGCTGTGGAGGAAGTGCCTCATCAAAACCTATCAGCCTTGCAATCACACTTTGCTTGGATTCCATCTTTCAAATTAACTATTCAGCTAACTATGTGCACTGCACAACCCAGAAAAAGATTTTAGATTGCATGAACATAATGTAATCTAATTTATGTTTAATGAAAATTCACATAGAAACTTAGAACAATATACTTCGTTACGCTACATGTTATTCCAGTCTTTCCAGTCAGACAAAACTACAGCATAGTACTCACTTGATATATATTTGTGTGACATAGCTGTGATAGATGAAGACAGCAAATGAATTACAAACGAACAATATTAATAGCTAAACAACAAAGTGATCAACTTCTGGCTAAGTTCGTAAGTCTAAGAGCAGACAAATATAGTTGTGTTGGATTTTTTTAAAAGAATGCCTATAAACTTAGTTGCAGAAATTGACAAAAAAAACAAACACTTTGACAGGAAGAACTAAAAGAGAAGTATAACAGACCACAAAATTTAGGATCAACACAATATTTTATTCCGTTCCAGCAGTTTTAAAGTCTCAAAAGAATCATCATAGAGGATTGAGACCAATAACAGGGGTAGCTAAAACAAACAAAAAGGAAGAAAGATAGAAAGAAAAAGAAAGAAAAATCATTCCATTTCCATTTCCATCCCTACAATACGTATCAGAAATCATACTTTTAACACAATAAATGCTACTGCATGCAAATATACACCAAACTCGAGGTGCAAAAGGGAAACATAATAATCAAGAATTCATAATAACCAAACCCCAATATATAAGAACGCAAGGTCTCCAGAAAAAAATAAAATCAAAAGAACTAACCATAATTCAAGAAAGAAGTCTTCCAGAAAGTGAAAAGGCTGAAAAATCGTCACGTTCTTCTCTTTTGATGACTCAGCATGGTACTAGAATCTGTGGCAAGAAAAATAGATTGCGAAATCATGTACAGGCCATAAAAGAATCGAAAACCCAAGGAAATAGGAGGAAGAAGGATTCTAAGAAAATAACGCCTATCTGACTATGCGATCGCTGTGAGCGGAGCAGTCAAGAAATGATAAACAGATGAAGAAAATGGAGAATACAGAACAAGGGGTTTACTGGTAATTAGGGAGCGTTTTTCTTTCTATAATTGTTCAACTCTTTTTTAAATTATATATGCTCCGGACATTAAAAACGGAGCGAGAGTTTATCTCTCTAAAACTTCGTTCCTCATAGGTAGGGGTGGTAAACGAATCAAATAATTTGTGCTCGATTCGCGATTCGAATTTGTATAAGACGATTCGAATTCGGAAAATTCAAATACAAATACAAATAAGAATATTAAATTTGATTCGAGTTGTTATCAAATACAAATAAGAATATCAGTGTATTCGATTCGAATATTAATCAAATATATTCGATTAATAATAATGGTAATATTAATATCAACATTAATAAAAATAGTAATAACACTGTAATAACTTTTAAAAGATAGCAATACTCTCAAAGTGTAACCCATATATACATTTTTGCATACAAATTTCAAGCCTATTTGTAATAAAGCAGAATATAAATACGAATACAAATCAATTTTTTTGGTTCAAATGTCTTTCAAATACAATACAAATAATTATGTATTCGATTTGAAGAATAAAATTAGAGTTGTTTGACTTTGATATATACAATTATTAACTTATTTCACACATTATAAGTATAATTTCTAATATGTGTGTGTTAGTGTTAATTTCAAAAGGTTTGAAGTAGATCTATATTTATTAATAATAAAATTAATTCACTTTAGTATATTGTGCACCATCTAAAAATGCAATGATCCAATAAATTTAAATTCTAAAAACACATATTAAGTCATAGCATGCATTTACAACATAAACAATACGGAGTTTAAGAAAAGTTATTTTAAAGCGATACTCCGTATTTGACTAATATTTAACCTATGATCAAATCGATTCGATATTCGTATATAATTCGTTAACTATTCGTATTGTTAAACAAATACAAATACAAATCGAAATTAATATTCGTTGCATATTTGAATTCGAATTCGTATTCGAAAAAATTAAACAAATACAAATATAAAATCTCAGTATTCGACTTGATTCGATTCGTATACAACCCTAATGTCTCCTGGGGCATTCACGCCGCTGGGGTTAAGCGCCTCCGCCGATAGGGCGGTTTGGATTCCGATTTTGGCTGTTGCCGGCCGGAGATCGTGTTGTGCAGGCAGGTTGTGAGCTTTTCGCTCGACTTCTATTCCGGAGCTCGCATCGCGGCAGGGGGGACAGAGGAGGGCGACGGAAGTCGACGGATGGAAGGGCTGGTGGATTCTTACAGGAAGATGGCTATGCGGGATCAGGAGAGCGAATTGAATTTTGATGAGGATCTGGCAGAGGAAGTTGCTGAAGAACAGGAACTACCCAGATTTCCGACAGTGGGAGTGGTCATTACGGATCGGAAGATTAAACTTACTGGCTTTCAGGAATTAATGACTTCACTGTGGAAACCTGTGAAAGGTATGACTATCAAAGAGATCGGCGAACGCAGGTATTTGCTGAATTTTAATCATGTTCTTGATATGAATCGAGTCATTGAGGAAGGTCCTTGGTTGTATGAACGAGATTTAATCCTGATGAAAGCTGTTCAGCCTGATGATATTCCTGAATCTATGAATTTGTTTGAGGCTAACTTTTGGGTACAGGTTCATAATGCCCCTATAAAGTATAGAAATTTAAGATCTGCTAGAAGAATTGGTAATTATATAGGCTCTTTCATAAAATATGAGATGAGTGATTTTGATGGAAAGCAGAGTTCTTATTTGAGAATAAGGGTGAGTATGGATGTTCGCCAACCCCTGAAAAGGGGCACAAATCTAACACAGGATGGCATAAAACATTGGGTTGACTTTAAATTTGAAAAGTTGCCCAACTTCTGTTTTATTTGTGGTATTATTGGACATTCTGATAAATTCTGTCCCTTAAAGTATGAGGAAGGTTTTATAGCTGAAAAAACTCTACGGAGTGGGTCTTCGAGCAAGTGGCAGAGTGAAGACCAGCCCTACAGGGTTTAATAAATGGCTGTCTGATGGGGGCTCTAGCTCAGAGGGTTACGGAGGTCAGAGAAAGCTTGATCAAGGGGGAGAGCACACGACGGAGTCCAAGACTTGCAGAGATCCACTGGCTGAGATCCAGGGGGAGAGCACACGAAGATCCATATGGGGATCTGAAAAGAAGACGTACGTGGGAAGACCAGGAGAAGGAAGGCTTGATGGGAGAGGAGATGGCTCTTGATGGGCAAAAAATGGGAAAGGGGCAGGTCAGCTATCCTAGACCCGCCGAGAACTTTCTGGCTGGTGGTGAAGATGAATTTTGGTTTTGGTGTCTTTTCAGTTCTCTGTTTTGGTTTTTGTGATTCCAGCTACTTTATGTTTTGTTGTTTTTGTTCTTTTATTTACTGTGAGACTTTGGCATTAGGGCGGGGGGAGGAAGTTTCTGCGGTAACCGTCTTAAGCTCTTTATTGCCCACCATTGGTCTAGCGAACTATACGGCTTGTATACAGGTGGATAGCTCTTAGTCTCGGCCACGGGCGGATGGTTATTTGTGGTTTTTCTCTAGTTTGTTACCCTTGCTGAATGCTATTTCTATGAATTAAGACTTCTTCGAGCAAAAAAAAAAATGCTCCGGACATTATTAGGCATGCATATATTTTATTTTACGTAATAGTTTAAAAACTGGTGTACGCTAGGTTTCTTTGGAGATGGAATTGTTTTTAGTTTGGACCAATATTTAACATCTTTCTTTTAATAGGCATTATAGGCCCATAATTATAATAGGATTACAATAAATGATTACTTAAAAATAAATTTCACTTTCAATCCGTATAGTATTGCACCAATTCTACAACTTTTTTTTCAAAGTTGCACCAATTCTACAATTGGTCTAACATATTTGTCTTTAATCACTTCTGATATATGACTATCATTTCTTGTCCACATGTGGTCCTTTCGTCGATATTTATGACCCTAAAAATTACTGGAGAAGTGTCGGAAATTTGGATGGAAGGATCACAGATGGGCAATAATCTATAGTGATGTACTAAAAGTGGGCAAAATCAAAGACAGAGACAAAATTTGGAATTGATATACGGAGTAGAACTCTTTTATTGTACAACTTTAAATTTTCGGAAAGCAACTATCACTAGACTGTTGTTGGTCGTCGCCTCTATTGCCGAGGAACTAACACCTGACTTACTAGCCACCGGTCTACCGTTGCATAGTGGTCTAATCTCCAGTCACCGAGTGTCATCCCTCCAATCGCTGATGGCTAGTCGTTAACCATTTCCGACTCCACGGGAACAATTTTCTCTTTTTAGTTCACCCTCTAATACTTTAGTTTGAAAAAACATCCAAATCGGATTTTTGAAAATTAAATTCTGTTATTTTAATTTGTTCATTTAATTTGATGAGTTTTTCTTGAATTAATGCTAATTAAATAAATAAATTCCAAAATACAGTTGTGACTAACCGTGGTTACAGAAAGCTGCCCTCTGGAATGTCGGCTCTATAGTCGCCACTACCACACATTAGTGGTGGACTCGGGCCGGGCGGCCCGGCCCGGAACTGGCCCGGCCCGGCCCGGCCCGGCCCGGAACCGGCCCGGCCCGGAACCGGCCCGGCCCGGAACCGGCCCGGCCCGGAACCGGCCCGGCCCGGCCCGGTGGGTCCACCGGTTCGGTTCGGCCCGGCCCGGCTGCTGGGCGGTTCGGGCTCGGGCCCAGTTTTTGGTGAACCGGCCCGGCCGGTTCGGGCCGGTTTTTAATTTTTTTTTTGATTTTTTTTAAAGTTTTGGGCTGGATTAGGTATTTTGGGCCATTTGAGGTGGTTTGGGGTGGTTTGGGGTTGAGGGGGAGGGGTTGGGGGTTAAATAGAAGAGCCAAAAAAAAAAAAAATTAGAACCGGTTAGGCCCGGCCCGGCCCGGCCCGGTTTGGCCTGGAACCGGAACCGGAACCGCCCACCGGCGGTTCGGGCTCGGGCCCAACTTTCCTGGCCCGAGGCCCGGCCGGGCCCAGGCCCGAACCGGGCCCGAACCGGCCCGAGTCCACCACTGCCACACATGATTGAAGTTCTCAAATTGCAATACTATTTTTTCTTTTTATGGTTTGATTATTCTTGCATAACATTGTCAATATGATCAATGGGTTGCTCAAATCCTTTCCCTTGTTAGGTAATGAAGGTGTAGAACCAATGTGAAGATGTGATGCACATATATTTCCTTTTCCTTGGTCTACCATGGAAAAGTTGAATAGTCATGGATATCAAAGGTATGATTTTGAGTCCCAACTTTTGTAACTTGTTAAGCTTTTCGCTTTCAGCTAATAAGGCTAAACTTTTAAATGCGCACACTTTAATTACCTTATCTAGCCACTACACTCACATGATATTAATTATTAGGCTGATTTTGCACTATTATATTGTAGACAAATGTTCAATGTTCATAACTCCATGTCTGGTCTTTTCTTTATTATGGAAATATGTGTTGCTCATCCATTTACTTTTTAAAATTCTAAAAATGATAATGATAAAAAATCAAAAGAGTTTATATTATAAAAAACATTTGCTAGGTTAATTTAATAATTAAGCAAGCAAACGTAATTCAACTTACCTATATAAATTACGTTTTTTACTACAATAAATTAAAATAGCATCTGTCTACATAAACAATGAGATGATGAGTGATGTATGATAACTTGGGATATCTTGATGTGATTAATGTATGTCCTTTTTGTAAGGGTGAACCGGAAACGGTGTCACACCTATATTTTGAATGTTATATTACAGGACAGGTTTGGACAAAAATAAAGGCATGGCTTGGGATCGCAAGGAACATGACAACGTTGAGAAGCGCGGTCAAATGGATAAAGAAGGACTATACTGGTGCACACATCAAGGCTAAAGCCGTGAGGATATCTTTTTGCTACACTATATATTGGACGTGGAGAACAAGGAACTCCATTTGTTTTGAAGCCGCAAAGGTCAACGTTGAAGACATAGTACACCATATAAAGTTTATGGTGTATAAAGTGCTTTACTCCATATATCCGTACCATTTTTTTTAAGTCTAACCGTACTCTTGTAATAATAACTCAAAAAAGAATTGTGTACAAACAGTATTCAAGACTCAAAAGGAACAAAGTAGATCAATAGCAAAATTTAAATAGATAAGAGTACAAAATATGACAACAATCCTAACACAAACTTAAAACAAAATGGTACAAAATGAAATTGATCACTTCACGGCTTCACCCTTCTCCTTTTACCAGCAGAGGAATCCCTATCTTTGTTGAAAGCTCGAAAATCGTTTGTAGAGTCAGCAGTGTTCTGCTTCTTCCCACCTTTCTGCCCACCAAAACCATATATCCGTACCATATGATAACATTCTAACATCTTTTTGCTGTTTCGTCACCATTTTTTGTGATGACTAGTATGTATATGTAGCTAGGTAGTCTTTTTTGCGTGGTGGCAGGGCATCCTTCCTTGGGATGACCCATATGGTTTTCTCTTTTGACTGTTGTACGTTTACACATAAACACTCTTGGATATATATATTTACAGTTTATCCAAAAAAATGAGATGATGAGTAGAAACCCCGCGAACAATAAAAAATGACATATTGACACTTCGGGATAATTGAGTGGATAACTACATACGATTCAGTTCGATTGTTCATCAAGTTTAATAAGCAATAATTCATAAATTTGATAATAGATAGCATCCCAACAAAAACTGAAATAGGGCTTGGATTCGGGCCGGGCCTAGGCCCGGTCGGGCCTTCGGTTCTGGAATGGGGGGCCCGAAACCGGCCCGTCCTTCGCCCGGTTCCTGGGCCGGGCCACCCGCCGGGTCGAGTCAGGCCTATGTAATTTTTTCTTTCTTATTAATACAACTTAATTAAATATGAAATACATTTTCTAATAAATACTAGGGAAAATGGAAACTAATAATCCAACCTTTTAGCGGTATTCTTTCAATAATCCCACCTTTTGATTATTCATGAATAATCCAACCTTTGCACCTCATCTTCATTCATTGGTCCCTGGTCGGTTAATGACCTACTATTCCAAGTTATTTTCTTATCTTTGCAAAATATTATCTTTGTGAAAGATGAGATTTATGATATAATGATTTGCAAAGATAAGAAAATAGCTTGGAATAGCAGGTCATCAACCGGTCAGGGACCAGTGAATGAAGATGAGGTGCAAAGGTTGGATTATTCATGAATAACCAAAAGGTTGGATTATTGTAAGAAGACCGCTAAAAGGTTGGATTATTAGTTTCCATTTTCCCTAAATACTAATATAATTAATTCTAAGTTGTAAGTTGTAAGTTTGTAACCAAATAATTAATTTGAGAAGTGCTACATATATAAAAAAAGAATGTAAGGGAGAAAACCACGGGACTTTTTAGGCTAATGTCCAAGCCCTCTCTCATTTTCATTAATCTCTCCTCACCATTACAAAGTACAAGGTATTGAGCTCCCATTAATGGAAGATGAAGCTAGCTATTTTATTCTAGAGAGAAGGAGGAGAAGTGGGGAAGAAGAGACCAACCAAAAAAGGATCCATAAACATGTGGGAAAGCCCCATACTTATAGGGGAAAGGGAGTAGGGAATAAGTCTACCCTAATGGGCCAAGTAAGCCCAAAATGGGCCCAAAGGGCCGAAACATGCCTGATAGGCTAAAACAGGCCTCACAGACTGGGCTCCGTACTACGTAAAGTCTTGGGCTCCTGAACAGTAACGGACCGGGATAATATATCTCAACACAAGTCCCCCAGTTTCTTGAGTAGTGAGCGTGCGAATCTGCTCGAGAAAGTATATTCTTACCTACGTTCTTCCTCTGCCTTCTTTGCACATGGCCTTGGCTTTCAGAGCAAAGGCTTAACAATGCCTTCGCCTAGGTGCGGGGGATTGGGGCGTTCAGCCCACAGATGCCCGACCCGACTTCCTTCAGACGTTCGACCCTTAGGAACTCGGCCTAGATGTGTCCTTGCTTTTGATGCACGACCCCGGTAGCAGACCTCAGAGTCGTCATACAGCGACAATCCTCGGCCTATTCCTAGAGACGTTCGACCTCTAGATGCTAGGCTGGGCTTCCGTGGACTTTCGGCCCCTTGACGGTCACCCCGCTCGATCTCTAGTTGTTGGAGCTCTGGAATTGACCTTCTGGATGCTCGGCCCGACATGCTTAGGAAGATTAGTCCCTAGAAACCCGACCTAACTTCCTTTCGACGTTCATCCCTAGAAACTCGGCCTAGATGTGTCTTTGCTTTTGATGCACGACCCGGTAGCAGACCTCAGAGTCGTCATACAGCGACAATCCTCGGCCTATTCCTAGAGACATTCGACCTCCAGTTGCTAGGTTGGGTCTCCTCGGGACATTTCTACCTCAACATGCTTAGCCTGGGCATGCTCGGTCTCAGGATGTGTTGCGCGCCTCAATGCCCTTGGCCTCCGGGGTGGGGATGCTCGTCCCCAGTCTTTGGCCTCTGGATGATGGATGTTCGTCCCCGGGCTTTGGCCTCCGGGTGATGGATGTTCGTCCCCAGGCTTTGGCCTCCGGGTGATGGATGTTCGTCCCCGGGCTTTGGCCTCCGGGTGATGGATGTTCGTCCCCGGGCCTAGGCCACTGGACGATAGATGATCGTCTTCGGACCCTCGGCCTCCGGGGTGAAAGATGCTCGTCCACGGCCCTTGGCTCTTGATGGTCTTCTTTAGATCCTCGGCCTCTGGGTGATGGATGTTCGTCCCCGGGCCTAGGCCACTAGACGATAGATGATCGTCTTCGGACCCTCGGCCTTCGGGGTGAAAGATGCTCGTCCACGGCCCTTGGCTCTTGATGGTCTTCTTTAGATCCTCGGCCTCCGGGTGATGGATGTTCGTCCCCAGGCCTAGGCCACTGGACGATAGATGATCGTCTTCGGACCCTCGGCCTCCGGGGTGAAAGATGCTCGTCCACGGCCCTTTGCTCTTGGGGTGGAAGATGCTCGTCTCCAAGCCCTTGGCTCTAAGGTTCTTTTTGGGCATCATCTGTTATCGGTCGTCCTGATTATTATCTTTATCTGCACAGTGAACATAGTAACGTGGCCACATGGCCAGACAATATGTATATGTGCACTTTTTTTTTGTAGGTCGGCTTGGGGCTCTTCAGGGCATGACGGTCGGCCTCGGGGTACAATGACCTTCGGCTCGGCCCGTCACCTAGTTCTTCCGGACATGAGCCTCGGCCTCAGGGTGCGATGACCCTCGGCTCGGCTCATCTCCTAATTATTAAATTAAAATAACGGTGGAAGCTCATCACCAAGTTTCGCTCGGCCTTATTTAATTTCGGGACATTTCGGTCCCTAATAAATAATGATGATAAAAAAAAAATAGCAATATTTTAAAATAAATGAGAGAGCTATGTGTACTTAGCTCCTTGAACCAATGGTGTATTGTTGGAGTCTGGCCAACCATGGAATGTGTTTGGAGCAGGGCAACACTCGGCCCATTTGCTCAAACCCAATTTTCTAGTGGCCTTCATCTTATAGCAGCAGGCTGGCAAGGGAGGAGACGCAGGCAAATTATACCCTACGACCGGCGCACCATGAGGATGGTGCGCCCGGTCCCAAAACACGGTATTTTAATTTTAATTAAAACAGATCTCAACAAGCCGCAAGCTGAACAAAGGCCTTTCGATTGCGTCATTCACAATGGCGAAGATCGAAGGTTGGAGGAAATAGCTAGACGATTCAAAAACCAAGCACCTCAATAATGGAGCGGCTGCATAATCGGTGTCCATGCTTGTTCCTCATCTTAACTGATTAGAAAACAATCGTGATGGATATTTGCTGGCCAAGCATGAGGAATATTAGAGTTGATCGATTAGATACACACACACACACATATATTTAAAGTTACATCTGTATAAAAACGTTTTACATTTCAATAGTCTAAAGTTACATATCCCAAGTTACATCTAATTTGTTTCCAAGTTACATTTCAATTAATGCAGTTTACATTCCAACGAGTTACATGTGAATGAATGTAATTTACATTTTAGTTAACTTGAAGTTACATGTGGGATCACACGATTTACATCTCATATACTCATGGGTGCATGGTGCTCACCATGCACCGGTTGCACGGTATAAGGACTGGGAGACGCACGTCCACATGCGCAAGAACTCCTGCCATGTCCGCATCCAAAGCCATGCGACAAACAGTCATAGGCCGAGCGGCGAAGAAATTGCTCCGGCGTTTGAAAGGACGATCGACCCTCCTATCGTTCTGAAGCTGTCCGGAGGCCGAGCGGTATACTCTGTGTGCCGTTAACCCTCCAATCCGATTTGTAGGGTTGGCTGGGACGTTCGGCCTCACTTATTCAGAGCTTTTCCAAGCCAATGCCCGCCGTTCATGGTCACTCAAATATGTCCCAACTTTAAACCATCTCGGGACCGGGCGGCCGTATCCAACTGTAGTATTTACGGGACATCTAGGACTGGGCGGAATCACCGGAATGCCGTGCGGCCGTCAGTGTAGAGACGAGCGGCGAGCGATGAGGTGTCCGGCTAAGGCTAGGGCTCCCCACGATGTAGTGAGGGACGGACGTCGGGGGAGTTCTCCTGGGGCTGAGGTGAACCAGTTCTGTGGTCGCACATTGCCGGTCCGAACTGATCCCGGCGTCTTTGCCTGGCTTAGTCCTTAGGTGTTCCCTTCTCAACGTGCTGGGTACTCTGGTAGGGAAAATGAGCGGTGATTATGCAGTGACGGGCGGCGAGGACACGACCAAGCTTGAACTTTGAAGACGTGCGGGCTGCTCTGTGGTAGGAACTGATTTGTGGCCGGGTACTGACGGTGGGATATAGCAGCTGGTCCTTTCTTCCCGTTTCGTCCTTCGTCATTGACCGATGAGTTGCAAGCTCAAAGGAAAGATGTGAAACGGTAGAGTAGCTGAATCTGATCTCTGTTTACTTGTGTTCGTCCGCCTAACAGAGTCTTGGGATCTACCTTTCCCCTTTTTATTTTATTTTACTTTGTTTTTTAACTTAGCTTAACCAAAAGTGATTGTATGGGCTGTCATGCCAAGGTCCTGCTTCTTCCCTGTGATGCTTCGATCAGTTCGATGGCCATGGCTAGCATTTTCTTTCTCAGTTTTTCTTCCAGATCTGGAAAATCCCTAATCTTCTTGTTGAGACCAGTTTGTTTGGTATCAAATTTTTTGTTGAAAATCAGTTCTCCGCCTCAGATTTTTCGTAGAAAAATCAAGAACACATTAATCTTTTTGAACTGATTCCCAGAGACGGCGCCAGTTTTGAGTTTAATCCAACACGATATAATAAATATATGTATAAATGTGTATGAACAAGCTCGGTTTTTACGTGGAAACCCGAAAGGGAGAAAACCACGGGACTTTTTAGGCTAATGTCCAAGCCCTCTCTCATTCTCATTAATCTCTCCTCACCATTACAAAGTACAAGGTATTGAGCTCCCATTAATGGAGGATGAAGCTAGCTATTTTATTCTAGAGAGGAGGAGAAGTGGGGAAGAAGAGACCAACCAAAAAAGGATCCATAAACATGTGGGAAAGCCCCATACTTATAGGGGAAAGGGAGTAGGGAATAAGTCTACCCTAATGGGCCAAGTAAGCCCAAAATGGGCCCAAAGGGCCGAAACATGCCTGATAGGCTAAAACAGGCCTCACAGACTGGGCTCCGTACTACGTAAAGTCTTGGGCTCCTGAACAGTAACGGACCGGGATAATATTTCTCAACAGTATATTTATTGGAAATATGAACTACAAGTTTACAAATTACAATAAAGAATTGAGGGAAAAATTAAAACATAAAATACATTTTATAATAAATTGTAAAATACTAATCAATCGGAATCTCCGGCATAGGAGCCACCTCGGTTGTTGATTCATCCATAAAGTCTTGGGAGGGGGTGATGCTAATTTCTTGAGTTCGACGTATGGCCTTCAACCAATCGTGGTAGCATATAAGCGTCTCAAGAGACTCTGCGCTCAAACTCGTTCTAGATGCCGTTAGAACATTGCCGGCCGAACTAAATTCTTGTTCAACGACAATTGTTGAAACCGGCATTGGTAGCACTTGCTTAGCCATCTGTGCCAAAATCGGGAACATTCTTTCTTTTGACTTCCACCACTTTAGAACGTCAAACTCCTCATTTTCGTCAAATTCTACCTCATAATTTATATACAAAGAAATCTCATTAAGTGCGCTTTGTTCAGTAGTGTGAGTTGTTTTAGTTTTTTTCATAAGATTGCCAAAAGCAGATTTAAAAAGTGATTTTCCTTTAGATGAAGATGTGTGTGTCGGGGGAGAGGGTGCGTTGCCATATTGTGCATGAAACTCATTAAATAAGGCATAAAATAAATTACTAAAAGCATTATAATTGAACTTCAAACATTCTTCCAAATTACCAAGTCTATAATGAGGATCGAGAATAAATGCAATACCATAAATATGCGGAATATGTGCATAATATTTTAAAAACTTTTCCTTCATAAAACCACAAAAATAACTCACGTAAGCGGCATTCTCAAATTCATTAAAAGCACCGGCGAGATTAACAACTTCACGAATAAATTCGTTAGAGGTAGGTTTATAAACATGACTAAAACTATCAGTTGCATTATTAAAATATATCAAAACATTACAAATTTTTTCACAAGTGTCGACGTGAGCGGAGTTTAAAATATAGTTATCATATTGTCTTCAAAAAGCAGGAAAATGTTCTTTACATCTAAGAAGAACTTTAATTAATTTACAAGTACTATTCCAGCGAATAGACAAATCTTTAGGAAAAGCAACATATTTCACACCTCTTTCAATCAAATAATTTTGCCATTTTAATTTAAGTTGACCATTGCCCCAAATACGTCTAATCCCCCCCCCCTTGACTACCTCCATAGCATCTCCTAACGCTTTTATACCGTCTTGCACACATAAATTTATAATATGGCATGCACATCGTTGATAAAAAAATCTACCCATCAAGGTATTAGAACCACACAATTCACGCAATCTAGGTATAGCAGCAGTATTATTAGTAGCATTATCAAAACCTATAGCAAACACCTTATCAATCAAATTATACTCAGTTAAAATACGTTCAATCAAAATATAAATATGTTCGGCGGTGTGACAATCATTAGATTCACGAAAAGCAAGAACACGTTTATGCATATTCCAATCATTATCAATAAAATGTGCAGTCAGACCCAAATAATGTAAATTATGATAAGTATCCTCCCAAATGTCAGAACAAATAGTAACACGGCCATCAAAGTTTGCAATTTTTTTTGTAACCAATCCTTTTCCGCACGATAAAGCCTTATAATTTCTTTCTTAACCGTTTTGCGACTATAAGCTCTAAATTGAGGATTTAAACAAGTTTGTGCATAATCTTTAAAAGCAAGACTTTCAGAAAACAAAAAAGGCAAATTTTCTTCAACAAATAAGTTAGCCATACCAGTCAAATTTTGTGCATCATTGTATGAGAAATTACCAAAAGGTTGGTCATATGCAAACCTCGATATTTGAGTTTGCTTCCCCTTGCCTTTGTCTATTTTCACATACTCCACAGAGTGCGCGGACTTAAGATGCCTTTTGAGGCTCCCGTATCCGCCGGAAGTTCCAAAGCTATACTCCTTGTTGCAATGATTGCAACTTGCGTTCCATTTATCGGTTGTTTTGTCTTTCCTCTTTGTAAAATTATTTTCTATAATAGGAGATTTAGATTTCTTACCAATTTGGGATGAACCGCCCTCGTCCTCTAACTCTTTCTCATCATCCGGGGTGCCGTGAGTCCCGTCGCCCCCCTCGTCCTCCTCCGCATCGTCATCCTCGAGCTCGTCTTCATCAATGGACTCCAGGATATTTTGTTGTTGGAAAAAGCGACCATCATTTTGCGCCAATAGTTGTTGTAGTTGCTCGTCGGACATCGCATCCCCATCTCGCCTTTGGTACCCCCGTTTCAAAATCTTCTCGACTTTGAGAAGAAGACCCGGCCCGCCCTTTACCTTTGCCTTTGCGTAAACTAGGATGACTTGTCGCAATCTCCTTCCTTCGGTTGCGTTGGAGATTACCCATATCTACGGAATGTCTACCACGGTCCATCTTTAAAATGTAACAAATATTATATTATATCAAATGTTTTAATATGAGTACAATAGTAATAATAAAATGCGACCAATAAAATTATAGCAAATTTCCAAGAATCCACTTACTAATAAAATTAACTAGTTTTAAACTTTAATGCAGCAATTAACAATTAACTATTTTTTTACTTTTTTGATAAAATGTAACATTTAATTAGTTTTATACTTTAATGAAAAATGTAACAATTAACAAATTAACTAATAGAGAAATAAAAAATGTAACAATTAACTAGTTTTATACTTTAATGAAAAATGTAACAATTAACTAGTTTTATACTTTAATGAAAAATGTAACAATTAACTACTTTTATACTTTAATGAAAAATGTAACAATTAACTAGTTTTATACTTTAATGAAAAATGTAACAATTAACTAGTTTTATACTTTAATGAAAAATGTAACAATTAACTACTTTTATACTTTAATGATAAATGTAACAATTAACTACTTTTATACTTTAATGAAAAATGTAACAATTAACTAGTTTTATACTTTAATGAAAAATGTAACAATTAACTAGTTTTATACTTTAATGAAAAATGTAACAATTAACTACTTTTATACTTTAATGATAAATGTAACAATTAACTACTTTTATACTTTAATGAAAAATGTAACAATTAACTACTTTTATACTTTAATGAAAAATGTAACAATTAACTACTTTTTTACTATGAATAGAAAAAACGATGAATTAACTAATAGAAAAAACGAGACAAGTATTAATTAACTAAATTAGGATAATGAGAAATGTAAAAATTAACTAATACGATGAATTTAATTACTATGAATTCAAGTGTAACTAATATAATTGTATAACTAATATATAATATAAAGTTTATAGTAGATAATATATAAGTATATTACTATAAGATGAGTAATACACTTATATATAATACTTTAATGTATATAAGTAAATAACAATAAATATAGATAATAAAGTAAATATTAAAAAGATGGAGATGTATAAGTAGATAATAAGTATATATTAAGTAGATAATAAATATTAGTAATATAATATAGGTATATAAGTAGATAATTAATATATAAGTAGATATAATAATTATATAAATAATATATATATATGTAGAGAGGTTTGGAGAAGATGAAGATGGAGATGATTGAGTATGAGAGATTGAGAGAAAAGTAAATTAGAGAGTAGGATTGTATGAAGATGGTGTGAAAAATGTAGAGAAAATAGGAGTATAAATAGGATTTTTTTGGTATCCCCCACCCCCACCCCCCCAAACCCCCCCCCACCCCCCCTTTCCCCCCTCCAATGGCTATAGATCCGTTTGGGATTATTCCCTACGGCTAGGGAGGTTTTTTTTTAATGTTTTTTAATGTTTATTCCCTAGCTAGAGCTACTCCGTACAACTTCCCTGCCTCTTAAATAAATCAAATTTAAAAAACTACCTTTAAATTTAAGAATTAATTCAGATGTTATGTTTTTTATAATTAATTTATATATATTTACCTTATTTAGTTTTCATCAAAGCAAACATCTACAATTTTACCTTATTATTTGATCAACCTAATTAATCAAATAATATTTTTATATATGCTAAAATGCACTTGGGTTTTACCTAGGCTTTCTCTATTTGTATAAAGTTTATCTCCAGTACTAGATTTATTTAAATTGAATAACCTAATGAAACCTTTATCAATGAGGTTAAAACATTTCTATTGCTATCAACAACCTGAAGGTGGGGGTATAAAACAAATTGTAAATTCTATTGTTAGTGAGATTATTGTGTATTTTCTATGTTCAAGCCTATAATTAAGAGAAATTATGAGTGGTTTTATTTATGCATATGTACACTCTCACCGTTCTCAATTAGGTACTTTGTAGATATGAATTGTATTTGTTCATTGTTTTAATATTGGGCATTAGATATCGCTCATTGCGCTTATAAAAAGCTAGTCAATTAATACATATGATTCGATTTATTACTTACCCTGAAACCTTGAAATGTTTTTGTGGAACTGGGGCAGTGGAGTTCATAGTATCGACAATACTTTCTGTGAAGACATAAACTCAAATGTGGTAGACTAAAAAACTTTCTGAATAAAAGCTTTTTCTACATCTTTCACCAACTCATTCTTCAACCTTTTCAAATCAACATCACTTAAACTTCCAATCTTGCGTGAACTCCTTGACTCCCGATGAAACACTTGTTTACGACCCATGTTGCCTCCAACACCGTGTACACGCCCAGGATAGTCGGGTTTCTCTAAAATCTGAGAAAGAATATCATGTCATCCATGTGGCATCCATGTCCCCGTAGAAATGTCTTCTTGAATTTTATCCTACGAAACATTATAAAATGTATAAATTTTATACTTCATTTTTATATGGAACAAATGAAAAATAATACACTTAGCTTATTAATTTTTCTTTCTTCTTTCTCATGGCTTCAGTATTACTTGAGAAAGCTAACTACCCTTCTTTCGTCAGTCCAGATCTAACACAAAATCAACCCACGTGTCTAGGATGTCGTCAGTAGATGTACTCGACTTTATGGAATCAACTTCAGAAGTAGGGACAAACTTATCTAGCAATCATTGTTCTTTCTATTACGGTAAATATTCTGTTGGGCATATCATGACGACTCATATAGTGACGGTAAATATTCTGTTGGGCAGCCTGCTTATATTTTCCCGCTTAATGCCTATTCAAAATTTTACAAATCACATGATATAATGTGCATTATAAAAGGTAGTTAAATACAATAAAATAGATTTCAATTATACGGCAAATTTTGGAGTTATTTTCTCGGCAATAAAGTCCTCTAAAAAGTCTTGTCACAGTGCCATTATACTTGTGAAATGTTTCACTGCTGTCATGTTCAACTAGTCGCGTCTTCTATACAAAGCCCGTCCTCAACCGACTCCTGAATTCTCGGTGAACCTTTCCCACTCTTCTTAAAGTAATGTTGTACATCTTATCATCTATAACATACACATCCTTAATTTATGATTCAAAAAATTAAATATTAAAATTACTAAGTTTGCTTCAGTAACAAATTGCATGTATTTTATCTATGTACATGAATAAATATATTTACCTGAATCTCTTTCCACATTTGCAGTTTTAAACCCTTTGAAACTTGCTTCCAACTTTCAATGCTAAATTCAGCGAGAATGTGTTATCTTGTATACAAAAGTTTTAAAATCTTCAGCCCATTTGCCAATTGTCTGGTCGTTTTTAGCAAAATGATTGATTTTCCTCCCGTCACTCGCTCTTCGCCCACTGCTAATATCACCTCCATGAGATTCCTCCTCGTGACTAGAGTCATCCCCCATCTTCATCACTCATATCCTGCAACATATTGATAAAATTAGTACATATTTTTATTTGTAGATATTTTAAAAATATAAAATCAAACATGCGTATTTAAGACAACTTACAATTGTAGTGAAGTATCATGTTATCACTTTGACTTTTCAAAGTGAATTTCTATGTCGTCGTTATGATTTCCCACAAATTGAAGATCATCTTCATTGTAATTGTACTTCACATTTTTATTTCATGCATACCTACAGATAATGATTGCATATCTTCAACATAATCATCTTCTCTACCTTCAAAATCATCAACATTTAAATTTCTCTTGCCAAGTAAAACGACACACCATCGTTTATTTAAAGGATCTCCTATATAAAATACTTGTTCTGCTTGTGATGCAAGTATGAATGGATCATCACAATATCCAGGTCGGGTAAAATTTACTAATGTGACTCCTGTTCGAATATCGCCCCATTGACATTTGAAGAGTGAAAATGTTCTATTCGTAGAGTTTAACTCTCATATATCCTCGATCTTCCCATAATACAACATCTTCGCATAAAGCGGATTTTGGTCATTTGAACTTGCATATTCTACCGAAGATGCTACCATTGATACCCCGCTATTCTTTAATACAGACTTGGCATCCTTTCCGATAGTATAAAAAGTGCAGCCATTGATATCATAAGCTTCATATGAATCAATTGCACGTTTAGGACCATAAGCCAACCACTTAATATCTTCATCAATCTCATTATAAGCATAATTTGTGTCATTGAAAATGAAGTGTTTAAACCAACATGAAAAAGTGCGGTTGTGTTCATTAGTCAACCACACTTCACTTTTCAACAGAAATTAAGTCCTCAAAACATCCATGTGTTTTTCCACAAAAGGATAAACAATTTCTAAATGATGCAAAACAAGATGATGAGCCTTTTCCACGAACTCATTGTCCACATTCTTTAGTATTTTCTTTCCAAGAATACCTTTGCCCTCAATTCTATCATCATGTCTTTACTTTGGAACACCCAATGGTTCAACATTCATCATATCGGGTGTACAAAACTCCATCACTTCTTTGTCAACAACACCCTTGATTATACTACCTTCAAGATGACAACGATTTTTTACCTTTGATTTCAAATATCCCATATGTCTCTCCATTCTGTGCATGTATCTCAAGAAAACCGGACTACATAGCTTCACTTTGTAACCAAATGCACAATAAGATGCACCACAATGTCAAATAATGAAGGCGGAAAATACATTTCAAGTTGACGCAAAGTAATAATCACTTCAGATTATAGTGCATCAAGTTTGTCGGGACAAATTAATTTTTGGCATATAACATTGAAAAAGAAATTCAACCTCATGATTGCATGTCTAACATGATCTAGTAAAATTTCTCGTAAAGCAACCGACAACAAATGTTGCAACAAAACATGATAGACGTGAGACTTCAAACCAACCAATTTCAAATCCTTTAATGATACAAGATTTTTAATGTTCGAGAAATGCCCCGAAGGCACCTTTTTACCATATATATAAGCATTCACAGAAAGTCCGTTTCTCAGTTATTGACAGTGTATAACTCCCTTGTGGAAGATAAATCCCATTTTGACGTGGTTGTGAAGCCAATTCTTTTCGAATATTGAGATGTTCAACCATGTCTTTCCGGATATTGATCCGGTCCTTTGTCTATCCGGGAGCATTCATAATAGTCGAAATTATGTTGTCACACATTTTTTCCGATGTGCATATGATCGAGAAAGGGATCCATTTTTCATAAAACTAAGGTGACCGTGTCATATTATTCAGAAAGGTTAATACTCCACAACTATGTAGCACGAAAACTCTTGAGAAAGAGTACGTTTCTGTTTCGGAAACTCTTTGAAAACTCTCCAAACAAGCCCTTTTGAGCAAACATTGACGTTTTCTATTTTTCGTTTTCCGCTTCCTCATTATTTTCGCATTTCTGTGCAACATAGCTCCACAAATAACAAAGTAGAGAACATTTTGATACCAAGGTAGAAGATAAAATAAGAACGTACGAGGAGAATTTTGGCTTAGGACTATCCAACACAACTTGGAAGATAGAGTCTGCTGAATTATGTAATGAGTAATATCATCTATACACAAATATTAAGCGCATTTAATTAAGTATAATGTATAAATAATACACCACAATAATAATAGGAAGAATAGGAATACGATATAGTGTTGGTTCTGTTTTAGAGTGGTGCTGGCGAATTGAAGTTGTGTTGGGCCAAGGAATGCCCATCAAGTGACGCAGCTCAGTGGAAAATTAAATGACTGAAATGGCCGGCCCACTTGTGAGGATCGTATAAGCACCGAAGCCCAGTGGAAAGGAATTCAATTTGAAATGCGAATTAGGTGGGCAGCAGCCCTTAGTGGATAAGTATGAGCTAAAGTTGGGGAGAAAGGAAGGGCTAAGCACGTTCACCCGTCCCTGCTATTTTGGTGGGCGGTTAGTGTGTAAATAGGAATGAAAGCAATTATTTAAATAGAGGTTGAGTCATTATGTAAAAATCAGTTCGAAAAGAAAAGAACAACACTACTCTCTTGTTATTATATTCATACGAAGCTATTACCATTGATAAAAGTATTTATACAATTCATACAATCCTTCCTTCTTGATATATTTTTGCACGATCCCAATCCTTTACATTCTCTTTAGCATAGTTTAAATTCTTGCTTAAACAATTTGGCGCCCACTGTGGGGCATCGTGCAAGAAAGAGTTCAAACATGGAAGGAGCGAATCAATTGTTGATTGAATTCCATGAACAATTGGAGACGGTCCGAGAAGAGATCCGGCGTGAGATGGCGGAGAGAATGGCCCTTCTTCAACGAGAAAACGATGTACTTCGGTCCCAGGTACAATCTGCACTATCAATAGCCTCGAATTCCAGGCCCAATCGGAGGATTGACACTATGAATGCTGCAACAAGGCTGGATCTCGGCTTCTCCCCACCATTGACGAATCCACCACCGGCGTCGACGGATCCAGTATCCCTTACGCTGGGTCTGTCGCCAACGCCGACAGGAGAGCCACACTCGACGGTCATATCGCAAGTCATCCCATATACGCCACTCGTGCCAGCAACGACACCACCAGCCAACATACCAGTTTGTTTTTTCCCGGAATCCCTTCGGGTCAGATCGAACGGGTTAGGCTTGTAGGCAGCAACTCAAAGCATGCCGGCGACGACTCTGTACTCCACCCCGACGGAACCGTCGATCCCCCATTACAGGAGCAGAACCAGCGGGGATCCCGGTCCATCCAACTCCAATCCGTCAACTGGTGTGACTCTTGACCCAGCAGAGCCGTCAATCCCTCATTACAGAAACAGGAATGGTGTAGAGGCCGGCTCATCAAGTTTCATGCAGGACGCCAGACGGAGTGGGCCTAGTGTGTCATTTTTAGAACCTCAGACGCGACGCCTCGACAGACCCGACGTGCTGCCAGCATCGACGTTTTCTGAACAACGTCATGAATTCACCCTGTTGGCTGGACCAACGTCTTCATTCCCGGTTCCGCTTCATCCGGTTGTGGCAGATCAGATGTCCATGTTGATGGAGCAAATGCGTCAAATGCAGGATAAAATCAACGGATTACCAGGTGTTCCCCCACCTTTGGACAGAGCGTCCAGGACATGTTATGCAGAGTCTCCCTTCAGTAGACGTATCACCAACGTCGAGATACCCAGGAAGTTCATCGCCCCCGCCATGAAGATGTTTGATGGGACGTCAGACCCAGTGGAACACGTCGCTCAATTCAAACAGCGTATGTTAGCCGTAGCACTCCGCAGATTATACCATACAACCGGCTGTATGGTGAGCACCGTACAGCCGGGTATTTTTTAAATTAAATTGAACTTGCAGGGTTATAGCTACGGTGCTCTGCTTTCTCTGATTCTTTCTCGGTCGTCGTCCCTGCTTTCTCTTACCGCAGTCCGCAGTCTCCGCACGTTCTTTGCTCTGCTTTTTTCAATTCGTCTTTTCTTTTGTTTTTTTCATTCGTACGTTTATAGTCCGCAGTCCCTGCCTTTTACTTGTGATCTTTTTTTCTTTCAAGAGCCTTTACTTTTTAATTCAAGAGCCTTTTGCTTTAAATTTTATTCAATTATTATGAAACTTTACAATATAAAATATTAATAAGGTGTCGAGTTTTTTTTGCTCCTTTTTTCAATCATCTTCCTAATGTAATTTTTTTAATTTGTCCATTTTAAAAATATTTTAGGTATAAATGTTTTATTTTTCTATTTTTACTTTTAAGATAAGTATTTATTAGTTATTAAATATTGTGTCTCAATTTCTAACATGAGTTTTGTGTTATATTAAAATGAGTATAGTGTAAACTAAATATGCACAAATAAATTTGAACACATTAGAGAATTCAAACGAGCTTTTAATTTTTTCGATGCTCATTTTGTAAGTTACATGTGTTCATCTCGTACTAGGTTATGCTCATTTCAAAACAATAACATTAAATTCGCATAAGAGTTAAATTATACTCCCTCCGTCCCGAAAACAACTTCCCACTTTCCTTAAATGGATGTCCCAAAATTAACTTCACACTTCAATACTTTCCTTACTTGGCAAATTATCTACATCAAAAAAGTGATAAACAGTGCCAAACAGTGTTTAAACAGTGCCAAACAGTGTTTAAACAGTGTCAAACAGTGTTTAAACAGTGCAAAACAGTGCATTCTACAGTAAAGTCAAATTTATTTCTTAAAAGTGTGTGAAAGTCCAACCGGGAAGTTGTTTTCGGGACGGAGGGAGTATACACGAGACCAAAGGTCATGATACTCAATTACATGTTTCTGATAATCAATTGATGAGATTTGATGTTCATTGAAAATGTCTTGATGCTCAGCTAACCAAGCTTATAACTTTGATATCGTATTGGTGTTATGCTCATTTTAAAATGTTATGTCAATGCATATCCCAAAAGCAATGTATTACATTACGTTTGCGTAGGAGTTGATTATAGATACGAGGCACAAACCATGATACTCAATTGCATTTTTCTAATACTCAATAGAGGGTGTTTGATACTCAATAAAATTGTTTTAATGCTCATCTAAAAAACTTATAACTTTCATAGTAATGCTCATTTTGTAAGTTACGACTTACGTGTGCTCAATTGGTACTTCTATTATGCTCAGTTTTAAAATTTCATAACAATGCATATTCCAAAAGTATCATATTACATTAGATTCGCATATTGAAATTCATAGGAATTGCTTATAGATATAATTTAATGAGTTTTTATAAAAGAATAAATAAGAAAAAAAATGTGAATTACAATATATGAAGTTGATATGACAATACTCATTATTTGGCTCTTAATGCTCAGTAGAATATGCCTAATGCTCATTAAAAGTGTGTCAATGCTCATCTAACGAAAACCAAGCTTTTCATTGAAATTACGAAAATGCCACCGTTTTTAGTTGTGATATCAACTTTTTTTGTAATAACACAGTGCTCATTATGAGACGCTTAACACTCATTAAAATTGGACTATTGCTCATTAACTTTTTTTTTTAAAAATGTCATATCAATACACAAATGAATATTGAGCACATCTTGAGCACAATAGAAATGATTTTTATGTTAAATTCAAATGAGTATAACAATCCAACTAACAAAATCATTAGTGCTCATTTTGTTAGTTACGTATGTTCATCTGATACCGTTCTTATGCTCATATATTTAACTCTTAATACTCAATGTAATAGACCAGATGCTCATTAAACGTTCATTAATGCTCATTCACAAGAAACTGTAGTTTTCATCTCAATAACGGGTGTTTGATGCTCAATTAAAATGTCGTGATGTTGAACTAATAAAACCTTATGATTTTCATATCAATGTACACTTTGTAGTTATGTATGCTCATTTGGTACTGATGTAATGTTCATTTTTACAATATCATATCAATGCATATTTCAAAAGTATCATATTATATTAGACTCGCATATTGAAATTAATAAGAGTAGATTATAGATATAATTTAATAAGTTTTTATACAAGAAAAAATAAGAAAAAGAAAGAGAAATAGAATATATGAAGCAAATATCGTGAAATTCATTGTTAGTCTCCTAATACTCAATGAAATAGGTCTGATGCTCACTAAAATTACATTATTGCTCATTTGATATTGATTTTATGTCATTTTAAAATGACATATCAATGCATATTTCAAAAGTACCATATTAAATTAAATTCGCATATTGAAGTTTATAGAAGTTGATTATGGATATAATTTAATAAATTTTTATAAAAGAAAAATAAGAAAAAGAAAGTAAATTACAAGATATGAAGGAGATATCACGATGCTCATTGTTAGAATTCTAATACTCACCAAAATATGTGTAATGCTCACTAATATTAAGAATTTTATAAAAGAAAAAAATAAGAAAAAGAAAAGAAATTATAAGATATTGTGCTCAGTATTACACTCTCAATACTCAACAAAATAGCAATAATGCTCAATAAAAGTATTGATGCTCAACCAATTTGAGCAAAAGGTCTACCTCACGTAACATTCGTTCCAAATTTCCAGTAGTTTACGGTTGTATTCCTTCATCCCAAATAAAGTCCAGTTTTAGTTCGACATGTTAAACGGCTCAAACTTATTGTGCTATGATATACTACGCATATTACAGTAAGAAGTAATACACTTCCATGCAATTTGAAGGTGAGGAGCAAGAAAATGGAAAACTGAAGTCTGAAACCTCTGCCTGCGTCGCCAGAAGAGGAGGAAGACGAAGAAAGCTTCACCGGAGTGTTGCCGGACTGGAATTTTCACGCTGATCGTGGAGGAAGCGTGCCGCCATCTCTTCGCCGGAACACCCCTAAGCCACGGTGCTACTTGTCTCCAGAAAAGGGAGGCCGATGCGGGGTTAGCATGCAACTGCAAGTCTCCCCTGCGTTTTGCGTTCCTGAAAAAATTTGGAGGAAGAAGATGAACGTACCGTAGCATTCTCGTAAACTGAAAGTATTAATTGGGCTAGAGAATCGTCAGGCTGATGTCAAATGTTTTGGGAATTGCAAAAATGCCACCGGATGTACGTTCAACCGGTGGTACGATATACGAACTCGTAGCACTCACTCTGGACTAGAGGGAGGCGTGTATGTGTCGAGGTTTTGGAACGACACTCTCAGGACCAGCCTTGACCTGGTTCGTCGACCTACCAAACGAAGGATCGACTCGTTCGCAGAACTGGTCGACTCGTTCACGCTACAATTTGTAAGCAGCCGCACCCTGGAGAAGCAAATGAGCGACCTATACCGGATTATCCAACAACGCGACGAATCTTTGAGAGATTACCTTCATCGTTTCAACAGGGAAAAGGTATCAATATCAAGATGCAACATACCTACAGCAATCGAGGCATTCCGGAGGGGATTGAAGAATGATTCTAAGTTATACAGGGAGTTGACAAAGTTTCCTTGTCGCACATTCGAAGACATCCAGGCTATAACCTTAGCCTTTATCAGGTTAGAAGAGGATTTGCGGGCACAACCGCATGCTGACAGTTACGAAGGGGGGCACCGCAAGTCTAGTACGTCCAGAAGGCATGACTACCGAACTGGCAAACCTTATGCCAAAGCTGAGGAGCGGCCCGTTGCGGCAATGACGCATTGGCTCGACGATCCTGATCTACCTCCAGTTATCCCTGACTACTGCTTCAATGTCAGAGTACTATGGGGCTCATCAACTCGTTGGAAAGGCTATGAGAAAAAGTCAGATGGCCAAAGAGAACCGACAAACCAGCTGGAAAGCGAGACCCGAGTAAACATTGCGATTTCCACAATGACATCGGACACAAAACCGAGGATAAACCACCAAGTGCCCGAGATGGAGATGTCACAAGTACTTTCCGCCCTGGATGAACCACCAGGATGCCGGAAGTAAGGTTAAAAGTGTTTATAAAATATCATAAAGAAAGGAGTAGTTTATGAGTCAGCCTCATTATCAGACTCACCAACATCAAAACCATCATCAGCGATTGGAGGATCCATCTCCTCTTGAAGTTCTCTCCAGGAAGCTACATCCTGCTCAGCCTTCCAGCCGGAAGTCTCTCCTGCTAGGAACGCTTCCATAAGCTCTCCCCTGGTTTTCCAAGCATAAAAGCAGGCTGCATTTGTGACCTCTTGCCTTTTCTTTCCCCCGTATGCTTCAAGCGCTAGAACACGATCCTTCAGAAGCGACACCTGGGCAGAGTAGGCTGAATTCTGCTCCTGCAATTCCCGAATTTGGCGAGTGTTGGCATCAACATAGTTTTGCATAGATTTCTCCTTCATCTTCAGATCGTCAATCGTTTTCTCCATCAAAGACAACCTCTCTGCAACAACGAGACTGGCCTGTGTACTCTGAACAAGCAACCGAATTCGGTTAACATATTAAGAAAAGATCTGTCATTGATTGACGAGTTAAGGGGAGTCAGATACAAAACCCAGAAGGCAAGAGCGGATGAGACGCAACGCTAAGCCAGTGGGAGATAAACCTTGAAAGGAAACGGAAGATGAGGGAAGCAAAACCTGAGGCATTTTGTCCTTCATGAGTAAAGTATCTTGCAGGCGGCAGAATTCAGGGGAGAAGGATGCAATCATCTTCAATGGGTTGGGTCCAGGTTCCGGTTTGGCTATCCCCCGAGGCAAGGTGGAGGTCTGAGTCACTTCAGGAGAGGAATGCTTAGGGATTTTAGGAAGAGGAGATGGCAGTTTAGAGGGCACCCTTTTCTTCCTAGAAGCCATAGTCAAGAGTTCGTAATCCGTAGGAGGCAACTTGGAATTGGATGAGGAAGTGGCTGCCATTTTTAAAGACCAAATCATACCATCAGAACATATCAATTACAGAGCGTAGGAATCAGGGGATAAGGTGAAGTTCTTACCAGCAGACTGAGGAGGACGCTTCCCGGTTTGAGAATTCTCACCAGTGGGAAAGGCAACCTGCATAGGAACATAAGCATCTGCGTTCTCACATGCACCAGCTTTAGAACCTTCTGATTCTTGGCCTGAATCCTCAATTGAGACTACAGACGAGTCTTGAATCAGATAATTACGCGAAGACTTCATATTACGTCGGGAACGCCTTAATCCGATAGATCTATCAGGAGTTAAAGTGGGAGGCAAACCTGAAGACTCAGAGACCAAGCTCACAAACCAACGTTCCTCTACAGGGATAGCTTGGATTCGGGCTATCCTCTCTTCGGCCGTTGGCCCATGGGGAAGGGGAATCGCCTTCTTTTCTGAAAAACAAACAGAATGCTAAATAATCACAACTTGCTAATCATTCGTGTGACATGTATAAGGGGTAGATGCATTCAGAAGTTAGAAACAAATAAGTAAAAAGAAAAAATAAAATAATATATATATGCATATAATGATTACTTTTGTGAAGGTCATCTTCAAGAAACGCTCCTTCATTCCCAAGTGAATCTCCGAGAACAAAGAAATACCAGCTCATCCAGCCCCTATCATTTGCCTTATCCACTTTGTGGATGAGTCTTGCTTTCTTGTCCTTCAGTGCTAGGGTAAAATGACCAGGGCCGGATGTACGAAGCTCATAAGTAAATCTGAGGTCTTTAAATTCAAAGGGAATACTATATTTTTCGCTCAATACTTCCAGCGCCCTTAAAATCCTCCACACTTGCGGCATGATTTGGGAGGGGGAAATCTTGACGAACTCCAAGAAGCCTCGAGTTAGGGGAGAGAACGGGAACTTCATTCCGATTTTGAATGGATAGAACAGAAAGTTCACCCATCCAGGGCAGAACCAGTCCAATCTTTCATTGGCCGTTGGGAAGCGGATAATTGCACTGGAAGGGAATCCGGCCGACGATTGGATAGCTTCAACATGAGCCTCTGTAAGGCGCGCTTGCTTGGAGCTCTTCGGTTCAAGGATGTCCTGGGGGGCAAACATCTGAGAGGCCATGGAAGAGGGAGAAACGAGGAAGGTAGAGAACCGTGCGGAAGATACAAGAAAGGTAGTACGAATGGGAATATTGGTGTTTGAACGAGTTTCAAGAGGACATGATGACGAGTTGGGAATTCCAATAGTTAATTGGCGCATTCAATTTTCGAAATATCCGCCACTTAACTCTAGGAATTGGGGGAAATTGTTGGGCCAAGGAATGCCCACCAAGTGACGCAGCTCAGTGGAAAATTAAATGACTGAAATGGCCGGCCCACTTGTGAGGATCGTATAAGCACCGAAGCCCAGTGGAAAGGAATTCAATTTGAAATGCGAATTAGGTGGGCAGCAGCCCTTAGTGGATAAGTATGAGCTAAAGTTGGGGAGAAAGGAAGGGGCTAAGCACGTTCACCCGTCCCTGCTATTTTGGTGGGCGGTTAGTGCATAAATAGGAATGAAAGAAATTATTTAAATAGAGGTTGAGTCATTATGTAAAAATCAGTCTGAAAAGAAAAGAACAACACTACTCTCTTGTTATTATATTCATACGAAGCTATTACCATTGATAAAAGTATTTATACAATTCATACAATCCTTCCTTCTTGATATAT